GCAGCCCCTGCTCCACTCCTGCTCAGCCTTGGTTCCCAGCCAGGGATCCCCCAAATCCTAGAATTTCAGAGTGATGGAGATGGCGGACGAGGATGTGAGCTTTCCGCTATTTCGGAAATTGGCTGAGATGGCAGCAGCAGATCAAGCCCAAGTGTCTCTTCCAGCCTGGCTCAAGGTCAATGCTGGCCAACTCTGGTTTTCTCAGCAAAATGAGAAGCCCTGCTTGGCTCTCACTTCTGATTTTTTTTTTGTTGTCGTTCTTTGTTTTTTAAGCAAGACGGTAGATTGATATGAATACATGTTGTTGCATAGATGATTTTTGAAAACACGGGGTCTCTGAGAAGACCAAAAGGTCAGCCCTTGGAGCAAGGGAAAAGGTGGGTAAGTTTTCATCCATTGGGGAGGGCGGGCATACATCCATATCTGGAATTAGGTACAATTAAAACTTCTTAATGCCGTCTTCCCAAAGGGTTACTTATGCATGACATATGCAAAGTATATTTGGATAAAGGGTGGGATAAAAAAGATCTTGTCTCTACCTGTGAGACATACGACCTCCTTGAGAAGGCACCTGGATTTTGTCTGTGGATTATAACAGCTAGATCAACAAAATGACTGAGACAAAACTCTTGGGTGAATCTCATAGAGGAGGAAATATTTGAGCTGGGTGTTTGGAAGAGGAGTAGGGGCCTCTCAGGAGGAGAGAAATGAGAGCACTCCAGGCAGAGACAGACCAAAGTGTGTGACTACTGGCATCTGGGGTACCAGTCAGGAGTCGCCAGAAGGGAGCACCCAGGCCCAGGGGTGCTAGAAGAGGTATGGCTTAATATGTAGAACAGACTTTGCACATTATCAGCTCCATGAACTAGGGTGTCTTACAATCCTTGTGCTGCAGAAGAAGAAACTGAGGCATGTCTTTATGACTTCAGTGAGAAAGTGGGGCTGGAACCCAGGTGTTCTGACTCCTAGTGCATCCTGGGAGGAAGGGGGTCGGAGGGGAATATGGACTTAAAAGGAAAAAGGGCTAGACCTGGGTGGCCAACTGGCCGTGAGGTAGAGAAGGAAGATTTAAGATGATGAATATTGGGCGCCTGGGTGGCTCAGTGGGTTAAGCGTCTGCCTTCAGCTCAGGTCATGATCTCAGGGTCCTGGGATCGAGCCCCACATTGGGTCCCCTGCTTAGTGGGGTATCTGCTTCTCTCCTTCCCTTTACCCCTCCACCCTTCTTGTGCATGCTCTTCCTCTCACTCAAATAAATCTTAAAAAAAAAAAGGTGAATATTTTCAGCATAGGTGGCCACAGAATGGCACTATCACCTGAGCGCAGAGAGAGAGGAGCAGATGGGGGATTTGAACAGGTTGAGAGCGGGGTTTTTGTAGGCTGTCCAGATGGAGGGGGTCCTGTCTGATGCTAGGTTTGGGTAAATAGGAGGAGGAAGAAGAGGAATGCAGGGGGGTCCTGCATTCACCCTGGGGCTGCAAGAAGTGGATAAGACTCAAAGGTGTAGAGCAGGGAGTGGTAATGCAGAGAAAAGGCTATTAACAGGCCCTCTATCCTTTTCTTTCTCCCTCCCATCCATCCTTCTCAGCAAGAAGGAAGCTGGTCCTACATAAGCCGATCACTGGTGGCCCACAAACTTCTCCTGTATTTGACGTTTCGCTCCTTTGGTGGTATTATTGAAACTTTGTTCAAAGAAGGAAAAGAGATTCCCAGGGTCACTGCTGCCCCCAAATAGACCTTGGGGGACTTATGAGAAAGGCATCCCTTAAGACATTTTACTGCCATCTGCTGGAAAATAGTTGTAATAAATGTAGTAAAATCTATACCCTGACACCAGTGTTGGCTGCCTAAGAGTGGTACCCTTGTGGTATTGTACAACCTACCCAACCTTACATGTTAGCCTTTTTTTTTTTTTTTTCCTGGGGCAACAGGGCTTGAAGGCAACAGTCTTCTCTCCTTTTGTCCTCTCCTAGCCAGATCCGGTGCCGATTCTTCATGCAAGGGAATGGCCACTGCCCCTTCAAGTCTGATTGCATTTATCTGCACCAGCTCCCAGATGAAGCCCTGACCTCTGATCCTCCCTGGACTGAGAGTATGCAGCTGATCTCGGGAGTGAGGTGGTAACAGCAGGGATATGGGACAGGGAGGCTGCTGGTCATGTTTACAATAAATGTCTGCGATAAATGTAAAAGCCATACATCATGTCCATAATGATAAAGGTACCTGCCGGGATGCAGCATCTTTGTACTATGTACAACCTGCCCGATCTTACATGTCAGCCTTGACTCCGTGTTCCTGGGGCAATGGGGTTGAAGCTGATGGGTTTTCACTAATTTCTTTCTCTATTCCCAGGTGCTGGGCCCAGCAGGGTTCCCGGGGGGCACCGAGCAGGAAGACGAAGTGTTATTCATGGACTGTGCCTTGGCCATGGCTTTCTGGGGTTCAGAACTCTTACTGGATTCCGATGATTCCTACCTCGGCATTCTGTAACCAGGATCAACATGTGGGGGATGGGGCTGAGGGGCAGGGATTGCTAGGTGGTAGGTCTTTTCCCTCTCAGGGCTTAGTGGAGGCTGAAAGGAGCAAACCCTCCGTGCCCATGGAGCGCAGCACCAGCCCAGCTGGGGAGCAAGGGAAGAGGTGGAGGGCTCTCGCAAAGACAAAGGGTTCACTCTCTTGCCAGGGACTTGGTTTTTAACTTTGCTCTTTTGTAAGATTCTGAAAGAAAACCAATAAAATGCATCTAAGCCATCATTGCTGGTATCTAAAGAGTGCTCATAGCCCAGATGCCCTCCCGCTGAACCAAGGGTTGTTTCCGCCTTCATTCTGTTGCAGTATCACCTGTCACTTGACCTTTGCAAAGCTTCACTTTATGCTCCTAAGAGTAGGAGGGTGGAGAGGGCAAATAACATCTTAGTATTGGGAAAATAGTAATGACATCATGGATCCCATGAAAGGGCCTCCAGGGTTCTTGAACCATTCTTAGAGCTTTCCTTCCTGTTCTCCTTCCCATTGGCTAGAATGCCAACCTTAGTGGGCATAAGCCAGAGCCACCATCACGGCGTAAAGCTGAGAATGGAGAACTGGCAAGGCATTGAAGTTTATTTAGCATTCCTGACCCTACCCACTACTTGTCAGGGTCTGTCCCCCACTCCCCCCAAACAGCTGGTCATTTGAAGACCAAAGACCTTTTTTATGAAGTTAGAACAGCCAACCTGAGATAGAGGTGTTGGCAAAAAACTTTTTTTCCTGCTATTTAAGCCTTTGCAAAGCAGTCACTCTCTAGGAAATACTCCTTAGTCTTTCTCAACACCTCCCTTGAAATTGTTTTGGGGGAAAAAAATGGCTTCAGTGGAAATCAGATCCAGCTCAAAATATTCCTATGGCTTACCCTGCCATTCAGGGGCACCTGGCTGGCTCAGTCCCTAAACCATGTAACTCTTGATCTCATGGTTATGAGTTCAAGTCCCACGTTGGGTATAGAGATTACTTAAAAACAAGATATTCCTATGGCTTACCATACTATTTAGAGTGAAAAACAAAGTCCTCTTTATGACCCCAAGGCCTCACAAGATCTAGCCCAGTTACCTTTCTGATCTCTTCTCTGATTACACTCTAGCAAGTACATTCTGCTCCAGCCACACTATGTCTTGGGGCCTTTGCATGTGCTGTCCCCTCCGCCTGAAATGGCCTTTCCACAGATCTCTATCTGAATTGCTTCCATATCTTCTTCAGGTTCATCTTGCCTGACTACCTACTTAAAATTACCTCACCCTATCTCCCTTCCCAGCTGTATTCGTCTTGAAAGCACTAATCACAATCAAACATTCTTTTATTTCCTTAGTAGTTGTCTCTCCTGTCTAGAGTGTCAGCGACAATGTGGAGGGTCTTTGCTTTGTTCCCTGAATCCCCAGCCCTAGGTGCTCAGTCAAGGTTTATTGAATGAATGGATGTGTGTGGCTGCAGAAGCTGAGAACAGTAACTAGAAACTGGAACCCAGAGTAAGGTTTATGGGTGCTGTGGGGGCTCTTCTCCCCTCTCTTTTTTTTTTTTTTTTTTAAGATTTTATTTATTTGAGGGAGAGACAGAGAGCCCAGCAAGGGGAGAGGTAGAGGGAGAGGGAGAAGCAGATACCCTGCTGAGCAGGGAGCCCGATGTGGGGCTCAATCCCAGGACCCTGAGATCATGACCTGAGCTGAAGGCAGGTGCTTAACCATCTGAGCCACCCAGGCACCCCATCCCCTCTCTATTTTTATCCTCTGCAGTGATTCCTCCTCCTTTCCCTCCACTTTCCTGGAAACCCGCCTTCTTCAGCAGCTTTCTTTATACTGAAACCTTGGGAGGTGGAGCCCCTAGTGGCCGCTGATAAAAAACCGGAGCAAGCCGGCTTCCTGGACCTCCGGAGGAAGTTCACAGCAAGGCCTTTGGCCATGTAGGTAGTGTTGGGTTTTACTACCACCCCATTCTCAGGGGTAGTTGTGTATCAAATATTTCTGGAGAGGACTAAAACCCTGATGTGATGACAGTTGATGGCCTGTGGAAGAGGTGATGTCAAGGTAGGGGGGCAAACTGATTAAATCCTATCGCAAAGTCCATGACCTACATACAAAATGGACATCAAGAAAAAATAAATGATGCCTGGGTCCTGAAGAACAACAGGATCGCTGACATACATTCTGCATCCACTTCTCATTCCCCTACAGTCAGGGACCAGTGCAGGAAGGTAGATGAGGGTCAGCAGACAACGACCCATCGCCCCACGAAGCCCCGCCCCACTCCACGACCTCTGCCATGACCCCGCCCACAAGTAACGCCCGTGTTGTGGTCCCGCCCCATCCGTGGAGCTCCCTCGGCCTTCGTCCCGCCCCCTTACTCCGTTCCTCAGTCCTTTGGGCCAGGACTATTTATGGCCCCGCCCCTTCCGGCCTGCCCTCTCCCCTTCCCGTCCGGCCCCGCCCCTGACCACACCCCCTACGTAAGTTTCTAAAGCAGCGTGCGAATCTTGGCGGGCTCCCGGCCGAGTGGCTCCGAAGCTGACTCCGAACGCTGAGCCGGGCAGGGGCACGTGCGGGAGAAAGGTCGTAGCGGCGTCCCGGCAGACGCTGGCGTTCTGCGCCCTTTCGCCTGTTCTCGAGACTGAGGTCAGGAACCAGAGCAGCGGCCGGCGCAGCCCCCTAGCCCTAGGCATGGCGGCCTCGGAGGAGGTTCCCGCTGTGGCTGAGGGCGTGGACTCGGCGCCCTGGGCGCAGCTGGAGGCCCCCGCCCGGTGCCTGATGCAATCGCTGCAGTTGGGGCCGGAGGGGGCGTGGCGCGGCCTGGGTATGCTGCGGGCGCTGGGCAGTCGCAGCGCGGAGCCCTTCGGCTGGGGCTGCGTCCTGGAGGCGCTGTGCCGGGAGGAGCCCGTCGTGGAGGGTCCGGACTATCGCCTGGAGCTGTAAGTCGTCTGGTCGCGGGGCGCCGCGTTTCATCCTCCACGTCATGTCAGGCAGGGGCTGGCGCCACCCCACTTTTCCAGATGAGACCGAGGCCCGGAGAGCTTCACTAATTCCCCACAGCCAGGCGTCCCTGCTGCGCACCCCTGCGACATGAAGGAGGGGCATCCAACAGACCTTCACTGAGGACGAGTGGGTGCGACACACGCCTCCTGCCGCGTGTAAATGAGTAACTAGAAGCCCTGGACGCAGATGGCTTCTGATCTCATACTTCATCTCTAAGGAAATCGAACTCATACCTCCAGTGTAGGGATACTTACGTATAACCACGTGTGCACAAGAGTAAAAATATGTGCGTTATAAAGTATACAAAAGTAGAAATTTAAAACGTGGTGACCGGACATCTAATGGGGTGGTTTTATAATGTTTTCAAAGCACAGTATACATTTTTAGGGCAAAATCACTTTCCCGATGACTTACGTTCTTTGGAGTGATTTTGATTTTTTTTTTTTTTTTTTTTTTTTTTTTGGCCTCTTTATGTGACTGAAAATTTCTGCTTGGAGCAGAAGGGTTAGCTCTGCCATTTTCTTATTTGATGGGCTTCCGTTACTGGCATTTAGTTTCTTCTCTTTCTCTTTTTTTAAGATTTTGTTTACTGGGGTGCCTGTGTGGCTCAATGGGTCAAACCCTCTGCCTTAGGATCGGGTCGTGATCTCAGGGTCCTGGGATCGAGCCCCACATCAGGCTCTCTGCTCAGCGGGAAGCCTGCTTCTTCCTCTCTCTGCCTGTTTCTCTGCCTGCTTGTGATCTTTGTCTGTCAAATAATAAATAAAATCTTTAAAAAAATATTTTATTTACTTATTCATGAGAGATAGGGGGAGAAGAGAGAGGCAGAGGGAGAAGCAGGATCCCCCAGAGCAGGGAGCCGGGTATGGAACTTGATCCCAGGGATCATGACCTGAGCCCAAGGCAGACGCTTAACCGACTGAGCCATCCAGGCACCCCATGGTATTCAGTCTCTTTTCAGTCATCCTTACAAGCCGTGTGTCCATTTAGTGAGTTTGGTTTTGTTAAAGGACATAATACAGTATCCATAAATGCCTTTAATTATGAAATTAAGGAAAAGACACAGAAAGTTTAAAAAAAAAAAAAGTGAGGTTTCCCCCTTCAGCCACCAGGGGGCTAGAGAGGGGGCTTTGCACTTCCAGATACTCCTCCCTCAGAATTAGGCTGGAGACTGGACTATGAAGGGCCATTCCATACATTAAATAGTTGTAATACTTAATTTCTTATGTTTTAGATAAGGAGAAATGGAAATTCTAATATTGTCTTCCCACACCCCACTTTGAATTTCTTTGAAGAAATGGGTTTAGGAGAGGGGCATCTGGGTGGCTCAGTCAGCTGAGCACGCGGCTCTTAATCTCTGCTCAGGTCTTGATCTTAGGGTCCTGAGTTCAGGCCCCACATTGGGCTCCAGGCTGGGTGTAGAACCTTACTTAAAAAAAGAAGGAGGGACGCCTGGGTGGCTCAGTTGGTTGGGCAGCTGCCTTCGGCTCAGGTCATGATCCCAGCGTCCTGGGATCGAGTCCCACATCAGGCTCCCTGCTCAGCGGGGAGCCTGCTTCTCCCTCTGCCTCTGCCTACCACTCTGTCTGCCTGTGCTCATGCTCTCTCTCTAACAAATAAATAAAATCTTTAAAAAAAAAAGAAGGAAAGAAATGGGTCAGGAGAACTTTGCACATCCCCAAATTGGAGGCCATGGAAATGTTTATCCAGCTGTCTGGTTTTTTTTCTTGCCAGAGTAGGAGGGGGACTTAATCTAGGGTCCCTGGTTAGAACTTTATTTCAGTATAATTGGTTTCTTTCATAAGCCCATGTATTTTATCTTACACATTTAACACTTATTCTGATAAGGGGTCCATGCACACACAAAAGTTAGAAGTCCTGAAGTAGGGTCTTCCCTGCCTTAGCACTTCTCAATATCCTCTACCACAAACTGACCACCTTTTTAACTTTTGCTTTTGTTTTTTTTCTCTCACTTCATGTCTATTGTTCACAAAAAAATAAAAGTCAGATTTTTTTTCTCTTTCACACCTCCCAGGTGCCCCTTGTATTGATGACAAGCAGCCCTGCACAGTCACATAGAGAGGAGCAGGGGAGTGATGGCAGGTAGGCTGGATGTACCCATGGCTTGTTTGCCACACCAATAAGCCTCAGGTCACAGTCACACAGCATCTGGATTCTTGCGTTGACAACATGGCAGATGGCTACCTTTGCTTTCTCCATGGTAGCCCAGGCTCATCTCCGGGCGCTTATTCTCAGAGAATTAATTCACCCAGTAAATGTGCTCCCAGTACCTGCGATGGGCTGATGCTGTGCTGGGTACTGGAACATGGAAGAAGAAGAGACTGCCTCTGCCTCTTAGCAATTCAGTTGGGTGAAAGGAACGTCAAAGCAAGATGACTGTGACCTTGTAAGTTCCGGGGGATAGCCAAGGCGAGCATAGGGCTGTATGGGAAGCACTGTACAGCATCCTGGAGTATTACTATTACTACTACTACTACTACTATTATTATTACTATTTTGGGTCTCGGCCCCTCCTGTAGAACTTTTTTTTTAGTTTAATTTATCTTTTTTTTTTTAAGGTTTTATTTATTTATTTGACAGAGAGAGAGAGACAACCAGAGAGGGAACACAAGCAGGGGGAGTGGGAGAGGGAGAAGCAGGCTTCCCTCTGAGCAGGGAGCCAGATGCAGGGCTCGATCCCAGGACCCCAGGATCATGACCTGAGCTGAAAGCAGACACTTAATGACTGAACCACCCAGGCAACCCTAATTTATCTTTTTAAGTAAGCTCTACACCCAGTGTGGGGCTTGAACTCAGGACCCTGAGATCACAAGACACACCCTCTAGGGGGCGCCTGGCTAGCTCGGTCAGTGGAGCATGTGACTCCGGATCTTGGGGTGGTGAGTTTATTTATTTATTTACTTTATTTATTTATTTTAAATAAATAAATCAGTCTTTAAAAAAAAAAAAATAGAAGAAGTCATATGTTCTACTGACCAGCCAGCCAGGGGCCCCTGGAGTATATATTTTTATATAAAGTTTGGAAAGGGATTTTTTTTTAAACATAAAACAAGCATGGATCTTTTATAGGATAGATTTCAATGTGAATTTTTTGAGGCGAAATAGGAGGTGTCAAAGAGCAGAGCCTAGCACAGAATACATGAATACACACTCAATTAAAAAAAGAAAAAGAAATTGTTTAAAAAAAAAGATGGAATTGCTCAGAGATTTTTTTGGTTTTTAGCAATCGTAAAATGAACTCAAACTGGCTTCACCACAACAAAAAAATACATGCTCAGTGAAGGTCTGTTGAATGGCACACATGCTGACCACCTCCATCCTATTGGTACTACCTCCTAGTGCCTGTCTGTCCATGGCCATCCAACCTCTAGCTCTATCCCAGCTGCCCTCTGCTCCTCCCAGCAAGATGCTCTTGAACTGCTTGTTCTCCTTCTGCTACCAGGAAACCCCTGCTGCTGCGATTGCCTCCGTTATGCCAGAGGAATCTGATGTCCCTATTGATGGCTCTTGGGCCATCGCTGCCCGAGAGCGGCCTACTCCCCGTGCTGCAGATTGCACGACAAGACCAAAGCTCCAACCCCGACGCCTGGCTCCAGACCCTGGGGGAGTTGCTGCGGAGGGATCTGAACGCTGGGGTAGCGACTGAGTGGACGTCCCCACTGTCTACAGACTGCCAGAGACAGCTCCAAGGCCTGTGTAGGCGGCTAGGCCAGGGAGGCAGGAGGCTGAAGTTGGCCCAGGCTCCTGTTCCTGAAGAGGAACAAGAGGAAGGCAAGGAGGACAAGGACTCCCCACGGCCTGGGAAACGCAGAAAGGGGCCAGAGGAAGAGCCTGCCAGTCCTGAAGGTGGAGGAGCCCCCAAAAGGTTCCGGCATTTGGAAAGGGAAGAGGAAGGAGGTCAGGAAGAGGAGAGACGTGAACCTGAGTCTTTGGAGCCCCCGGCAGACGGAGGAGGTGCCTCACCCATGGAGAACCAGCTTGTCGGGGCCGAGCCCAGGGAGGCTGGTCAGAGTCTGGAGGAGGCTAAGGACCTAGCCGAGAGTTTGCCCAAAGCTCTCCAGGTACTAGAATGGGGAGGCTGGGTTTAGGGTGATCCCCAAGGAGGGGGTTTATCCAGGGCCAAAGCTGGTCGGGAGACTATTTCCCAACTGGGATAACTGGAATCCGCAGAGCAGGGGGTAGGAGCGTAGGGTTAAGGAAACCGTCTCTGCCCTACAGACTCTGAGGAAGGGGTGGGAAGGGAGGTATAGGAGGGCAGAAACCTTTGGCCTTAATGATCGACAACACGAAGTTAAAGCATTACCACGCAAGAAGAGAAGCTCCAGGGCTATACTGTGGAAGGAGTGGAATCGTGCCAGCCTCCCGCCTGTCCTCCCAACCACAGGCCTAGGTCTGCCCCCATGAGGACGGATGCAGAGAGGACAAGTCTAGGCAGCTGCATTTCCATGGGCCTTGTTGCCTTTGAGTACTTAAGCACCTCTCAAGGTTTAGGCTTCGTGTTCTTCACTCCCTGGAATCATCCTTGCCTGCTAGCTCTCACTGATCTGGGGCCTTCTCGGAAGAGGGGGCTGGGACTGGGCCTGGGGCCACACTGTGCTGGTAGGGACTTGGCAGTGACTGGACTCTCCTCTTCAGGACCAGGTTCCCAGGCTGCAGCAGCTGCTCAAGACCTTTGGGGAGGTAAGTGGCCCCTGCTCACTGTTGCCCTGCCATCCACCTGCCGCCTAGACCTCAGCCCTACCCAGGGAAGCACAGATTGTTTGGATGGCGGGGGTCGGAGTGGCGGTCAGAGGACAGTCACTGTAGGGGCTTGTCTTGGCCCAAGGACAGATAGGTCATCTAACCCCAGACAAGTCCCTCTCCTCTGGTAGCATCCAGGGTCCTCATCCACCCACTGTGCCAGACAAAGGGGTGGTCTCTGACTGATCATCAAGGGCTCTGCTTGCCCTAACATGGGATTTGCCTTTCCAGGGGTTGGAGGGCGCTCCCCCACTTGAGCTACAGCTTCTCCATGAATGCAGTCCCAGCCAGGTGAGTCCATTAAGACCCTGAGGATACATCCCAGCCTTTTTCCATTTAAGTCTGTGTTTGCTTGCCTCATGTGGGAATGGGGGAGGGGATCTTGCTGGGGTTTTTCACCCTGTGTACTTTCTTTTAGCCCTTGGATCCTCACCATGGGGGCAGCTCTCCCAGCCTCATCCTACCTTGGAATATCCTTGCCCTACCCATTCTGCTGCCCTGTTGGCTTGAGACAGCCTAGCAGAGGCAGACTGAGTGCGTCTGTGTCCTCCCTCCTACTTGGCAGATGGACCTGCTGTGTGCCCAGCTGCAGCTCCCACAGCTCTCGGACCCAGCTCTCCTGCAGCTCTGCACCTGGCTCCTGTCCCTTTCACCAGATCTTAGCCTTAGCAATGCGACCATTCTGACCAGGAGCCTCTTTCTTAGACGGGTAGGTGTGTTGCCATACACTTGGCATGCTAGGCACTTTGTGGGAGAGAATCTGAACCTTTGGAAGGGTGGTGCTTGGGAAAGGGGGTTTCCAACCTTATAAGGTGTCTGGCCAGTCGAGGCAGTGTGGGGCAAGGGAAGGGCATGGACTTCCTCCTTCTTGGGTCCCAGACCCTTCCAGAAGTTGAAGGGGTTTCGGAGCTGGGGAACTGAGCTTTGTATCTTTTCCAATGGGTGAATCCATGTGAGTCTGAGATAAAAGAACTTTTGTTTTTTCTTTGTAACATGTATCACCATCTGAAATACATGTCTGATAAACATTTATTAAAGGGAAGAAGAAATGAGTGATTAATATTTTCCTCCCCTTTGGCTGTAGATTCTCTCCCTGACTTCCTCGGCCTCCCGCCTGCTCATCATGGCCCTGACCTCCTTCTGTGTCAAGTATGCCTATCCTGTCTGCAGAGCCCTTCTTGGCCCGGTGCTTCAGGCCCCAGAAACAGGTAATTGTGGAACCAGCCCCAGGCCTGGTAGCTCAGCCCTCTCATTTCCCAGCACCCTTCACTCCAGGCGATCCTGGCCATTGTGTATTCAGTCAGTAAAGATACCTTCCTTCCCTGACGATGCCCCCCTATAATGAGCCAGGCATTCTGTTCCATGCTCTCCTGCCCTTTGCCCCCAGACCACCCCCCTCTGCTGTCCCCTACGCAGGCCCAGCTCAAACGGAGTTACTGTGTTGCCTTCTGAAGGATGAGGCCCTGGCGCCGGACACGCAGGTTCTGATGCTGGGGTGAGCGTACAGCCCTCCCTGCTGCCCCTACTCCACTCCCTCGCACAGGCCCAGCCCGTTCCTGGCCTCCTGGAGCTGGAGTCAGCTGGGGATCGGGCCCTGGGCCTGAAGCAGGGGCCACAGCACAGCGGATGCCTCTCTTGCTGTGGCTTGAGCCTGGCTTGTGCCTCCCCCACTCCCACCCCCCCTTATGCTTGTGCAAGTTGCCATCCTGGGACCCTTCCCAAGCCCTGGGTTCCAGTTCTGGGCCAGGTACCTTGGGGAACACAGGGAAGAGGCCGGTGGTCTCCACTGGAGCAGTTCACAGCATAGCTGGAGCCTGGCCGGCAGTTAAGAGTCTGGCTCTGGAGCCAGGTGGACAGGATTTCAAATCTCAGCCTTGCCCTGTGTCGATTACAGCAGTATCATCTCTCTGAGCCTGTTTCCTCATATGAGAAATGGGGATAATATTTCCCTGGGAGGATTTTTCTAGATGTTAAATTTGGTAATGCACATAGACCACAGCACAGTACTTGGCTCAAGTCAGTGCTCAAAAATTGTTATTAAATTGGTGTTCAATTTGGGTATTAAAACTGGGGAGTCAAGACCCAGACACATAGGGCGCCTGGGTGGGTCAGTTGTTAAGCATCTGCCTTTGGCTCAGGTCATGATCCCAGGGTCCTGGGATTGAGCCTGCATCGGGCTCCCTGCTTGGCAGGAGGCCTGCTTCTCTCTCCCACTCCCCCTGGTTGTGTTCCCTCTCTTACTGTGTCTCTCTCTCTGTCAAATAAATAAAATCTTTTAAAAAAAAAAAAAAAAATTCACACAGAAACAAGTAAGTAGCTAAGACCCCATGACCCTAAGGCGAACTATAAAATGGAGACTCTCACCAGAGAAGGGGAGGGTCTGAAAAGTAACGTCAGCCACCTCTGATTGAGTCCTTTCTCTGTGCTTTTAGTTCTCTCCGTTAGTCCTCACACAGTGCTGTGAGGTGGGTGCTGTGAGGTGGGTGCTGTGGCTGCCCTAGAGACAGAAAACCTGAAGCTCATGTTCATTATGGGGCGTGGGCCAAAGGTCACACCGCCGGCAAGTGATAAACCCTGGGATCAGACTCTAGGCTGTGCATCTGAGAAGCCACACTGCTCCCATGTGACAACGCTGCCTTTCCACATGAACAGGGGATGGCTCCCTAGCCTAGGAGGCACAGCTGGAGTGGCCATCACCATGGGCTGGGTGCTGCAGGGAAGCCTGCCTTCTGGAAAGCCTCACGGACCTCTCAATGGGCCATGATCCTCTGCCCTGGGTCACCCTCACCTTCTCTCCTTACAATGCGCTCTCCACTCCTGCTATTTTTCAGGGAACCTTGGTACACCTCAGGCCAAATCCTTTGTGATCCACCGCCCCAGGCATCTTGGGTCATAGCTTTCCAGCACCAAGTGTGGGCTGGCTACTGGGTGGCCGCCAGCCTTGGGGGGGGTGCCTCTGATGACTTGCTGTGTTGGCTGGGGGAGCCTTGGCTGTCTCCAGGGCCTTGCCCTGCCTTGGGGGTAGGAGCTGTAGATATCCAGACGTGGGCTGTTCTCAGTGGGACCTCTGCTTCTTGCAGACAGATCTTGGAGCTGCCCTGGAAAGAGGACACTTTCGTGGTGGTGCAGTCCCTGCTGGAGCGGCAGGTGAGCAGGCTGCCTTAAGGAAGGGTGGATGCGGTGGTGTGGCAGTGCCATCGCCATGTGTGCCGGGTGTGCGGTGGCTGGTGGGCCTGGGCCCCCTGGGTTTCTGGTCCCTCCAGGGATGGAGGCAAACAGGACAGCTGCCCTGCAGCAAGTGGGGCCATGACACAGCAGGCGAGTCCTGGAGCTTGAAAGGCTGGTAGCCCAGAGCGGACTACATGGTAGAGCCCAGGCTGTGCCTCTTCCTAGCTGTGTGGCCTTAGGGAGGGACTTTTTGGGTTTGTGTGTGTGTGAAATTTAACTTAATTTTATTTTATTTATGAAAGTTTTATTTATTTATTTGAGAGAGAGCAAATGAGTGCAGGAGGGAGAGGGAGAGAGAATCTGAAGCAGACTCCATGCTGAGCATGAAGCCTGACATGGGGCTCGATCCCATAATCCTGGGATTGTGACCTGAGCAGAACTAAGAGTCAGACAATTAACTGACTGAGCCACCCAGGCACCCTGAATTTAATTTAATTTTTGAATAGGTTATAAATTCATAGGTTCACAATTTTTTTTTTAAAAGATTTTGTTTATTTATTTGAGAGAGAGACTGAGATAGCACAAGCCGGTAGGAGAGGGAAAAGCAGACTCCCCACTAAGCAGGGAGCCTGATGTGGGGCCCGATCCCAGGACACTGGGATCGTGACCTGAGCTGAAGGCAGACACTTAACCAATGGAAGCAAAGATTTTATTAATTTGAGAGAGACGGAGAGTGCATATGTGCAAGTGTGAGGAGGGGCGTAGGGGGAGGGAGAGAGAGAATCCCAAGCAGACTCCCCACTCAGTGCAGAGCCCTACTTGGGCCTCAATCCCATGATCCTGAGATCATGACCTGAGCTGAAACCAAGAGTCAGATGATTAACCCACTGAGTCACCCAGGTGCCTCTATGTTCACAAATTTTAAAGCTCAAAAGATAGAGTGAAAAATATTACCCCTGCCATCCAGATTCCCTTCTCCAGGGCTAATCAGTATTAGTAGTTTCAGGGGAACTCTCCCAGAGATGCTTTTATATACAAGGACCCATGTTTAAGTTGACTTTTTGCCTACTTTTTACATAGATGGCAACACACTGAGCTCAGTGCTCTGTCCCTTGCTTTTTTTTTTTTTTTTTTTTTTTAATAAAGATTTTACTTATTTGACAGAGAAAGACACAGTGAGAGAGGGAACACAAGCAGGGGGAGTAGGAGAGGGAGAAGCAGGCTTCCCCATGAGCAGGGTGCTGGACGCAGGGCTTGATCCCAGGACCCTGGGATCATGATCTGAGCTGAAGGCAGACGCTTAATCGACTGAGCCTCCCAGGCACCCCCGTACATTGCTTTTTTAACTTACAGTATATTTTGGCAGTTTTCCATACCACTACCTAAAGTTCTGCCTCATTTCTTTATAACTTAGATAGCTGACCTAACCTCTTTATGCCTCAGTTTTCCCGTTTACAAAAGGGGAGTGATGATAGTAGGTACTGCCCAAGGCCGGGGCGAGGTGGAAGTAGATAATTGGTAGAAAATGCTCAGAATAGTGCCCGATGCATAACAAGCATTTATTCAGTTATTATGAAGAAGAGCTGATGCTATTATGCTGATGGTACCCTTGGGACTCCTCACTTCTTTATATCTTTGGCCACCAAGCAAGGCTGAGACCTATGCGCCAGGCTTTATGTGCCTTATCTCATTTAATTCTTTTCAGTGTCTTTAGCGTTAGGTATCATGAGCACCATTTTACAAATGTAGAAACTGAGGCTTTGTTTGGTTATGTGACCTGTCCAGGCTTACTTAGTTAGAAAGTGGTAGAGTTTGGAATTGAATCTGGGGCCCTTTCTTATTCTCTTATCCCATCTCCCAATGTGTGCAGGTGGAGATGACCCCTGAGAAGTTCAGTGTGTTCATGGAGAAACTCTGTAAAGAGGGGCCAGCAGCCACCGCATCTGTGGCCTATGCCAAGCTCATGCTGACGGTGATGACCAAGTATCAGGCCAGTGTGAGTATTGGTAGGGCCGCGAGGGTTGATCCTGCTACTGTGAGTGCGCCACAAGCATGTACATCTAGGTGTTTGCCGGGGAAAACCCCCTGAGTGTTAGCCAGACCAACTACAAGTTCAAGCCTCAGACTGGGGAATGAGACTGCTCAGGAATTCGCTCATCCAGCCTTCACCACTGTGGGCCAGATACTGTATGGTGCACTGGGGAATCAACAGTCCCATCCTTGACTTGATGCTCTCCACCGGTGCCAGTGAGGTGGGAGAGAGGTGGTAACCAGATCAGCCTAATATCTGGAAGGAACCAGGTGAGAGGTGTGTGCAGGGCATTTGGTTGCGGAACAAGATGGGGCAACTAAACCTTGTGTTTGGGAGTTAAGACAGGCTTCTCAGCTCTGAAAGGGTGAGTGGTAGCCAAGGAAACAGTATAGGCGAGGATCTACAGGTATTAACTGAGGCCTAAAATCACGAGAATGGATGATGGTAGGGGTGAGGTTAGAGGTCAGAGTTTAAACACTGAGCCCTGCTAGGTCTTAGGCACTGTTCAAAGCCCTTTGCCTACGTTAACTTGTTAGTTTATTCCATGTGTTAGACCAATGAGAAGATACTATTATTAGCTCCATTTTATAGATGAGGAAATTGAGACTCAGGTTAAAGTGACCTATGCAAGGTCACATGGCCAGGCCATGCTAACATCTATGGAAGACCCTGTAGGGTCTGATGAGGAGCATGGGCTTTATCTTGAAGGTCAGGTGTCCTTGGCTGTTGGCTCTTTGCCTTTTTTGGGGAGTCACAGGCCCATTTGATGATTTGATGAAAGCTGTAGATCCTCCCAGAAAAATGAAAATCTGAACACACATTTATGCACATTTTCAGGAGGCTCCTGGATCCTCTGGAGAGCCTGACGATCCTGGAAGAAGGGCCTCCAATATGAGACATCAGAAGTTACCCCAGGGCCCAGCTGAAGCTGGAGTGATTTGGTCAGATTTGCATTTTGTAAAGGAGTCTCTGGTATCTGTAAGGAGTGGGGATTGGAGAGAAGATACAGGGTAAAGATCTGTCAGGAGGTTTTAGCGACAGGTCATAGAAGAAACAGTGTGTCATAGAAGGAGTGTGACAGCCACTGTGGAGTATCTCTGACCCTCAGTTTTCTCATCTGTAAAATGGAGGGTTGTGCTACATGAAGCTAGGTTTATAAAGTTGCCACATGGTGAGCATCCAATAATTGTCAACTGTCATTCGTGTGGCTCTCTTCGTAAGTTATACAGTTAATATCTGACCCAGGTCCACTTGAACCCGATTATGCACCTTGCATAATCATGGTGAAGTAATGCATTTAGATATCTCCTTCATTGTCCTTACGTCCTGATTGCTCTCTCCTTCCTAAACAGGGCCATGGGCAGAGGGGAAAGGGGAAGGATCAGTTGCTGGAGTCCTGATATGATTCTTCCCTGTCCCCAGATCACTGATATCCACAGGCTGGGCCTGGCCGCAGTCCTAGAGCTCAACACCACTTTCCTGAGGAAGCCCCTACAGGCCGCCCTGAGACATCTGGCCCCCTGACCTTCACTCCTGGAGCCTGAAGGCTACTTCTCCAGCTGCCTGAAGGATACTTCTGCTCTCAGCGCCTCACCCTGACTCGCTTGCCTGGGGGTAAAGGCAGAGCCTGGCCATGCCAAGGGTCTGCTGCTTCCCTGCTCTAGGATGCAGAGAAAACATCTTGGCCTCCTAGCCAGCAGAGAAGGTCCCGGGCTAAGCAGGCTTGATGAGCTTTATTTCCAAGGGATGCTGACCTTGGGCTCACTCCTTGTCACTTTTGCTTCAGACTGTGGGGATGGGAACTTTCTGAAAGACCTCAGTAGGGTCAAAGCAGACCCGGGTAGATGAATGATGCTTCAGGAGCCCTGAGGTGACCTGTGTCCTTGGCACAAATATCTTGCACTCAAGTGTATGTTATGACCCTCTGTGTTCTGACTTGGATAATAATTTATTAAAAAGTAGGAAGTTTGGGGCGCCTGGGTGGCTCAGTGGGTTAAAGCCTTTGCCTTCGGCTCAGGTCATGATCCCAGGGTCCTGGGATCAAGCCCCACATCGGGCTCTCTGCTCAGCAGGGAGCCTGCTTCCGCCCCCTCCTCTCTGCCTGCCTCTCTGCCTACTTGTGAATCTTAAAAAAAAAAAAAAAAAGGAAGTTTAATGTTTTCTTTGAGGCAGTGTCTGCCTTCTTACGAACTCTGGGTATTTTTTGAGAACTAACAGACACTGCCATCTCCCACCCTACTCAGTGACAAGGGGCATCTTTTTCCTGGCGAAAGTTTCTGTGAGGGGAAGGTGACAGATCTCAAGTTCATTCATTCACGTTCTGGGCAGTGAATGAGACCACTCCCCTCAGCCCCATGAGATCTGTCTGCTGAGTAGGTGACTGTGGCACTGACTACAGGGAGTGGGGCCTGGAAGGTGGGCGAAGCTCTCTGGAGTTGGAGAAGGTTTGTTAGTGGTAAACATTTAATGGGTAGGTGTGATTCAATCAACTATCAAGTACCTTCCCAGCTCTTCCCCACTGCAGGCTTCGAGGGAACGGGAGCAGAACTTTCTGAATCTCCCTTCTCACGACTTCTCTGAAACCATGAGCCCCAGAGCAAGATGATGAGGGAGGGGTCAGAGTAAAGCCTGCTGTTGAGACACGAAGCCGGTGTGGAGGGCCGGAGGAGGTGGGCAGAAAAGGGTGGAGGGGCAAAAACGCGGGAGCTGCACGCTCTCGGCGGCCATCACGCTGCGGTGCCCAGGACCAGCCTCTTTAAGGGCCTAGCAGTAGATGGCGCAAAGCGGGGTGTTCTGAGCCACGGGGCGCCCAGGACGGCACCTCCTCGCCTTCGAGCCAGTCTAGTTGTGCAGCGCGCGGCAGCGCCCTCTAGCGGCCGCAGACGCGGTGCTTCCCGGGGTTGAGCGCCCGAGCCTAGCTGCGCGGTGGGAGAGGGAGCTACAGGGGTAAGCATCTCGCGAGAACAAGAGCCTTATTTGAGCGCCTGCGCCACTTCCCTTACTTTCTTTTCCGGTTACTGCGGCGCGAGAATCATGAGGTGAGTGGCGCTTGGGGAGCCATCCACCGTCATCCGCGACTCCTGGCACCGTGGTAGGGAGGGGGACTTGCGGGCTGAATCGGTGGTAGTCTTTGCCCCTGCTTCGCTGAGGGGCATTTCTCGCCAGGCGTCGTCCTGCGCTGCCCGGCGTTCGAGTCCGCCTCCCCGGCGCTTGCATGGTAGTCGCACTCAAAAGGCCTGACGTGGTGTCCGGAATGCCCTCGGTGTGCTTCTGAAGGCTCGAGGCTTCCGATCACGCCGAAGCTTCCAGGTGCCGATCCGGGCCTTGCAGGTGCTGAGCGCTCGTCTTGCTTCTCTCTCGCAGCAGCAAAGTGTCCCGCGACACCCTGTATGAGGCGGTGCGGGAAGTCCTGCACGGGAACCAGCGCAAGCGCCGGAAGTAAGCGGGGCTCGACAGGGAGGGCAGCGGCGTGCGAGCCGCGGGGCGGCGTCCTCATTCTGTCGCCTTCTCTTAAGGTTTTTGGAGACGGTGGAGCTGCAGATCAGCCTGAAGAACTACGACCCTCAGAAGGACAAACGCTTCTCGGGCACCGTCAGGTTGGCACCGCTCTGACCCCACCCAGGCCTCCGTGCCCCGCCGTGCCCTCGCCACCTTCTAGGCCCCTGTTGAGCTGAAGGCGGGCGGGCGGCCACGGCGGCACGGACGCGCTTGGGTAGTTCGGACCCCCTGCCCCGGGCAGGCGTGGCTGGACGGACCCCCACCCTGGGTCTTAAAATAAGAGGGGAGGCGTGGGGAGGCCTTGGCCGAGCCCGCCGGCTAGTTTGAGAAGCCAGACTAGCTGTTGGTGAATGTGGATGTTCTGGGTAAGGCTCCGTGGCTGCCGCGGTCCCAGACCCCTTCACCTGCTTTGGAAACCCAGGCGGGGCTTGACCTGTTCTGTCCCCTAAAACGCAGGCTTAAGTCCACTCCCCGCCCCAAGTTCTCCGTGTGTGTTTTGGGGGACCAGCAGCACTGTGATGAGGCCAAGGCAGTGGATATTCCTCACATGGACATTGAGGCGCTGAAGAAACTAAACAAGAATAAGAAGTTAGTCAAGAAGCTGGGTGAGTGTGGCTTGGGCTGGTTTTGTATTTGGGCAGACTGTTGTCATGGGACTGGTAGAAGAGAGACGTGGCTGCCATTTGGATTTTAAAATGTTGGAAGAGGGGGCAGAGAATCATGGAAAAGCTCAGTTGTGGTGAGTTGACTTAAGTGATAGTTTAACCTATATTTGCTTTGAGGATTCTTTATAAACAGGGGAGCTCCCCTAAGCTCACCAGTCAGTCAGGTGAGTTAGGATTTATGCTTAAAGCTCTTTTATTTCTTTTCTTCTTCTTTACCCGGTGTAAGCATTTCACAGGTAGGAAACTGGTACTCTGGTTATTCTGTAACTAGGAAGTAGGCAGGATTTGAACTCAAGGAGTTTTAACCAGTGTGTGCATTTGCTATTAGAACATGAGTATGGGTCAGCCTGAGCTTCTGACAACAGGTTTCATGTAAATGTTGAGCCAGTAAAAGTTCAAAGGATAGAGATAAGCTGGAATAAGGAGAGGGTTAAAAAGACTTGGTATGTGGGGTGGGGTAGAGTTTGGTGGTTAGAGTCCGCTTTTGTGGTTGGTTGACAGCTGTTTGGAGGTTGCCTTCCGGGGCCAGTTCCTAAGCATCCAGTGGCTTCTTTTTACCAGCCAAGAAGTATGATGCCTTTTTGGCTTCAGAATCTCTGATTAAGCAGATCCCACGAATCCTGGGCCCAGGCCTGAATAAGGCTGGCAAGTTTCCTTCCTTGCTGACCCACAATGAGAACATGGTGGCCAAAGTGGATGAAGTGAAGTCCACCATCAAATTCCAGATGAAGAAGGTAAGGAGGTCTGACTACCATGCATAGGTTAAGTCTTGGTGATGGTAGGCACGACCAGTCCTAAAGTTTACCCCCATTCTTTGAATGGGAGCTCTGGTTCGCAGAATTTCTGTGGATACTTAGGACATGTGACAGTCCCTGAGTAGAATTGAAGCTTTGCACATAGCCCTGGTCTTCTGGCCTGGGGTTGGTCCTGTTCATTAGGGTCACTGGAGTTGGGGGAGGGATGGGTGGAGCCTATAGATGTGCCTTCTCTGGTTCTTTCCCATCTAGCTACCAGCCTGATTTGACTTTACCCTTCCCACAGGTGCTGTGTCTAGCAGTGGCTGTTGGTCACGTGAAGATGACAGATGATGAGCTCGTGTACAACATCCATTTAGCAGTCAATTTCCTGGTGTCCTTGCTCAAGAAGAACTGGCAGAACGTCCGCGCTTTGTACATCAAGAGCACCATGGGCAAGCCCCAGCGCCTGTACTAAGGCTCAGTTCAATAAATCCTAGTGCTACCATTACCTGGGCTGCCTGTGACTAGGGAGAGGGAGGTGCTTTGTGAGCTGACATGGGGTGCAGTTTCTGGCACCCCCTGGTGGGTGGTCATGTTCTCCATACTGCAAAAAAGGAAGTACATTTTGTCTGCCTTCAAAACTGTATAGTCTTATATTTGGATATTTTATAATTTGTAATAGTAGGGCTGCTGAACCTTGAGACGGGACGATCTGGGCTAAGACTCCAGCCTGTAGTGCTTCACTGTGTACTAGTGGAAGGAGAGGGGTAGGACCTTCACACTGAGGACGTGGATTCAGTTCTCAGCAGCATGCTGCTTAACCTGAAGTTGCTTTTCTGTACATCATGCTTTGATTCCATGGGTTTCTTGTTGTGTCCCTCTAAGTTGTACATCTTGGTACTTGGTAGGATCACAAAAACTGTTCCAAATGGAGATAAGGTTCCTAGATTCTTCATAGGGGAGTGGTGCACTTGATTTGTTTGTCTGACCCTAAATTTAAATACTCTATATTCAGGGTAGTAATTTACACTCAGATGCTTAGGAAGACACAAGTAGTAGACCTGTACAATATTGTAATTGCCCCGGTTTCCTTGGCAAGCTTAGCAAATGGGCTGTGGATTCTTCCAGACCCTCTGCTCTCCAAGTAGCCTCCCCACCCTTGACCTGAGGCCCTGCCCTGGTGGAGGTTTTGTGTTTGTTTTTTAAGATTTTACCTGAGGAAGGAGGAGATGCAGATTCCCCAGTGGAGGGAGGGGGTGGGGTGGGGGGTGAAGCAAGGCGAGGCGCTGCTCAATCCCAGAACCTTGGGATCATGACCTGAGCCAAAGGAAGACTGAGGCATCCGGGCATCTCTTCCTATTGGGAGTTCTTGCCTCCTGCACCCAGTACAGGAAGGTGGGTTTTGGTGCAGGAAATACCTGTAACTTAAGTCTGCTTCATTTAACTTTGGTAAAGTAACAAGTTCATCCCTCCATCTTAATATAGCTGAAGGGCTAGTGGCCTGCTCTTGATTATTCTTAATTTTGGCTTAGGTGGGGGGATTGAGCCCTGTAATGGGCACGAAGGATTATCCGTTTGCCCCTCCCGTTCACTAAAATGGATAGACGTTTTTAAAAAAATACAGCCAAAAAGCTAATCCAAAGCATAATCAGAATGTACCTCAAAACAAGCTTGAGCCATGAATGATAAGATTTTCACCAAAGATCCTAGTTTTGTTTTTTCTATTTTAGCTTTTAAGTTTGTAATTTTGCTTAAAGGTAAAATGGGTACAACCTAATCTTGGAATGAACCTTGGATTTGGGTTCTCAGGGTTAATAGGTGTAGTTTGCTCCTTCTCTGGTCTGTTAGTACAGTATTAGGAGTGATAAAATACCTAGGCTTGTCAGAAAATGGTCCAGAGGGAGGGGGGAAAAAGCTGGCATATGAAACTTAGGACCTAGTTTTATTGGAAGAAACTTTATGCAGAGTAAAAGTGATTGGAAGTTTATATATGTTGGCCATGTTTAACTCAGAGGGAAATGATTATCTGGGATTTTCTGAAGTTCTGTGATCTTTGTAATCAGAAGGAAAAAATACTAAGGCAACAAAGATATTTTGACGACTGAAGGAATGTAATCAGGACTGACATCTGCCTGGTCTCACTGTGTGCACTCAGGCACTGAATACAGCAGGCCTGAGAGCCACAGGCAGAATAAACCCTCAAGCTGGCTAAAGATGGGCCCCAACTGCACCTCTGGCAACCGGTCCTGAGGACCTTGGTGGACAGGGTTCTGAGCCCAAGACCAGAGAGACCATTTCTGTTCCACCAGCCACGGTGCTGTCTCAACACAAGACCAAAAAAACAACGGTTTGTTTTTGTTTTAAAGATTTTATTTGATAGAGATCACAAGTAGGCAGAGAGGCAGAAAGAGCAGAGAGCCCAATTCGGGCCTCGGTCCCAGGAGGACCCGAGCCGAAGGTAGAGGCTTACACTGAGCCACCCAGGTGCCCGAGCCAAGGGTTTTAGAGGTGGTTTCTCCCAACCTCCCATGCATACTCAACTATTTACCGGGCGGGAGAAGACGGCCTGTGATTTGACTGTGGGTGGAACCCCTTCTACTCCCTGAGTTTTTGAATCCCACTTCTCCCATTCAGGAGGCATGTGAGCCTGAATGAGTCCATTCTCTCAAATTGATTGTCTCATTCGAAATCTCAGATGATGGCACCCACCTAAAAAACAGTAGGACCAAATGCTGATGCTTTGCACGGTGTCAGGCTCTTGGTGCTCAAACAGAGGGTGCAAGATGGCTGCAGACAGTTGGGTTCCAGCCCCAGCACGCAAATACCTCCTTGCTTGGTTCATTTGGGTTAGGTGCTGATGAATGGGGAGAACAAGGTGGCTTCAAAATTAGTCATGCCCTCCTATTTGAACTGAGCCAAGGATTAAACATTTTTTAAAAGTTTTGGAAACTTGGGGGAAGGTAAGTGGGCGTTTTTAGAAAAGTACTTGGGAACTTGAGTCACCTGGATTTAAATTTACCCATTCTATCAAGCTTTAGGTACTGGGGTAGGAGTCCTTAAAAACCCACTATATTAAGCAAATGCTGTGCTCGCTTCGGCAGTACATATATTAAGCAAATGCTGACTCACTACTTTCTGCTGGGCTGTGGGGAATCTAGAGCCCTGGGACCTGCTCCCCGGAGGCTCAAATTACCACAAAAAAGAGTAGGCAGCAGAAGGGAAAGCAAAGGGAAAACGTGTGGAGGCCAACTGATTCCACTGTGAATGAAGTTGGCTATTTTAACCAAGTCCCAGCCTCTGGGATGATCAGTCTAAAGCTTAGTGTGCACCTGAGTGAGTATTCAGGGTTCAGGTATCTGGGGAGCCCCAGTTCAGGCGTTTATGCTACAGGGAAATAAAGAGCTCCGGTGAAACCTTCAGTGCCTAGGCTTTGACCGTGGAACTGGCTCAAAAAATGGCATTCCTCCCTCTTTCCTGGGAACATCAGAATGGGAATGGGGCAGAAAAGACAGAACTACCGTCCTTGTCTTTGGGGTCCAGCCATCGTGGCCCTTCCTTGTAGCTTCCCACAGAACCCTGAGCAGGGGTGAGCCACTTCTGGGAGAGGGCCTTGGGCTTTGGGCTCACAAGACAACTCATTCTGGGTCCTTCCTTACTTCGGGACCTTGAAATTAGTCATCACCGATCTCTGACTTCTGGCTCTCTTACATTTGTGTGGGGGGAGAAGGAGGGGATGGGGCAGAGCGGGGCGGGGTTGGGGAAGACAAACAAACTCAACTATCTCAGTTGAGTTTTCTCCATGAGACCTATATGATTTTAAAAGAAATTACCCGAAGGCTGTTTACTCCGGGGTAGTGAAGGCCACAACACACGTGATGATGCCTCAAGCACCCAGTAAATAGAATTACCTGTTAGCCCAGAGATTGGATTTTGCATCCAGTCCTAGGTCAGCACATGGTCTGGCCTAGGGTCCTTCATAAACTACTTTCTGACTCCACGACCCCCCACCCACCTGCCTGGAGTTCCAGGCACTGACCCCATCCTGCAAGTGACAACAAAAGGCTACCTGATGATTTAGTCTACCAGGTGCATGGACTTGAGAGTCAGGCTGACCAGATTCAAATCTTGGTGTATAGCCGGTGACCGGTTCAACGAAGAGAAACTTTAACTTCATCTGCAAACTTGGCTGAGCAAATGAAAATATAGGATGTTCATTTAAATCTAAGCCTTAGATAAATAACTTATGTCCCCTGACCCTCCCCGTTCTCTGGTCCCTGCTGTATGAGTACAAGCCGGCTCAGAGGGGAGAGCAGGGCTCAGCCAGGCAGACAGGAACATGTTGGAATCTGGCTTCTGCTAGCAGCCATTCCCTCGGGAAAGCACTCATCCTCCCTGAGGCTCTCTTCTCTGCTATCAAGTGAGAACCAGGAGTAGCCACGTGAAGACTGGGGATTGAGCAGGGAGGGGCTCCATCTCAGAAGTGTGTGACCTTGGGCAAGTCACTTCAAAGAGACAATTTAACAACTGAACCTAGGCCAGCACTGGGCACATTTTAGGATTCAACTCCCAGCAGGAAGGGGTCAGAGAAAGGAGTCTGCAAAGCTTTAAGGGATCTTTGAATCATACCTATTTTGAGTGTGGGTATGGATGCCCCCCCCAAGCCAAGATGGGGGAGGGTAAGAGGGTGGGGTGACACATCAGGATCTAATCTGGCAGGAGCACCCACATGAAGATAATCCAAGCTGGAGAAGTCTGTCACACACTGGTCACACAACTAACCCACAAACAAATAACTTTAATATTTTTTCTTTTTCTTTTTTTTTTTTTTTTTTGGAGCAGGAGCCGGGCCTTGAGGACCCCTGCCCCAGCCCTGTGCCACGTTTACGATATAACCCATCACAGCTGGATTTAAAAAATACACAAAAAAATATAATATACATTATAAAACCTAGGTTGGGTTTGGAAGTGGCCTGAGCGATATGCAAACTGTGAGGACCTTCAGGAAGCTCAGGGGCGGGCCGTGTAAGGAAGGGAAGGGGCACAGTACTTCATATGAAACTCATAAATGCCCAGAGGCGACTGGTAGACAGGCCAGGCCGGCTGAGGGGCCTGAGTGTTGGGGAGGGGCAGCAAGGAAAGGGTGAACCTTCAGTCCCAGAACTGGGTCTGGGGAGCTGCTGCTCCAGGCCTGGGAAACTGGAGGTGGAGAGAAACGTAAGGGAGTGAACCCACCGAGGGTTCACCCAACCCATGTCTTGGCCATTTGAAAATACCAAATCCTTCTGCTACCCCTTGTCCCTGGAACGCTGGTCTGCCCAGAGGCGGGGACTCCAGCTTCCTACTTGACCCTTCGAGCTATTTTGGAGCCTGCCCCTGGGGGCCTTCTCTGGTCAGGAAGGTGCTGAGGGGCTCAGGTCCCAGATGTGGGCCGGGGCAGCTTGGAGGAGGTCCGCATAGGGGCTCCCGAGGCCCTGGCCGCACTATGGGCTGACAGAGGGCACCTAACAGGTGCCAAGTACCTGCTGCTCCTCTTTTCCTGCTGGTCAGAAGCAGCTGCTCCCCTGAAAGGTGCCCCCCAACCTGGCTGGCTCCAGCTCCCTGTATAGACCCTGTCTCTCACCCCCTGTGGCTGCTCCCCCACTCCAGGGAGGTAGTGTATACCTGGGCTCTGGGGACAGGCAGCCCCGGGTGAGAATTCCAACTCTGCCCTCCTTGCACGGGTCTCTCAACTTCTCCGAGTCTCAGCCCATCACATGAGACACCCAGACCCACGCTCACCTTGCAGGGTCTGAGAACAGGGCCAGGCACACTGCAGGTACAAGAAAGTGTGGGCCCCTCTCTTGTCTTCTCACCCTAACCCCAACTCAACACTCTCCTTCCTGGAGCCTCTGCACTCTGACCCCCTTGATCTCCATTCTACTCTCCCCTGCCGGCCACACATGCCTGAGCCCGAAGGGGTTGGAGCCCGCCTACTGGAGGCTGGGCAGAGCTGGCTGATGGTTCAGCATCCGGGATGGGCTGCCCCACCACGGAGCTCTCCTCTCTTCTCCCACAATTAAAGCGCAGAACAGTGGCAGGGAGTGTGTGTGCTGGGGGGTAGGTGGGGAGGCCTCCTGGGTCCTGGGCCTGAGGCCTATAGGCGGGATGAGTCTCAATCCCAGACCCCCGGGGGTGGGAGTGGGGTGGGGGTGGGGGGCCAGGCAGGTGTGTGGAAAAGATGCTTGTCCTGGATCCTGATACTGGGGGCCAAGAGTGGCCTAGTCTTTGACGAGCTTGTAGACATGGTGCTGGGCCCCGTGCTCGCTGGTGGAGACTTCAAAGACGAAAGCAATGACGAGCAGGGTCTCCTGGGAGTCCCGGCTGGTGACTACCTGGGGGTCAGTAGGAGGATGCAAGGGATCAGGCGGCACAGGGCCACCGCTGGCCAAGGGGGCAGGAGGACTGGGGGGAGGGGGTGGGATTGGGCCTGAGCCTGAGAAGACCCTTCTCCTTTCTGGATAGCAGTCTTCTCAACTGAGCACTGGGGCTGCCCCCCACCTCAAGTGAGGCCCCGTGCCCCCCATGCACCCTATCCCCGCCCCCAACCTGCAGGATGGTGAAATTCTCCAGCACGCTGTTCATCATGTACTTCTCTGGCAGGTGCTTCAGCTTGTGGATGAAGTTGATCATGTACTCGCACATGGGGGAGCGGTGGATGCGGTACACGAAGCGGCCGTTCTCCAGCCTGGCGTATTCCGTCTGCGCATGGCGCGGGGAAGGCGTCACCCAACGGGCCTGCTCCCCGCCCCTCTGCGCCACCCTGGGCCCCCACTCACCTCTACCTTCTCCACCACCTGCTTGCCAAAGGAGCACACCTTGGTGGAGACGCTGATGGTCATGCTGTCGGCCGAGCTGTACTGAGAGCTGACCCCATAGAAGGCTCCGGGGCCCTCCTGGATGGTGCTGTTAAGGTCCGCCTGGGAAGGGGTGGGGGTGTGAGCCGGGCCAGCGTCAGGTGCGGGCCGAGGCCAGGGGAGGCTTTGCGGAGCCACATCGGTGTTCCACCCCAGGGCCCATCATTAAGGCCAGTGCCCTGCCCACAGGCCACAGGGTCCCCGGTGGGCGGGGTAGGCCTGGTGCGCTGCGCGGGTTGGGGAAGAGGTGGTCGGGAGCAGAGAGGGCAGCTCACCCAGAACTTGACGAGGAAGAAGGCGTTAGGGGGCCCTTTCTCATAGAGCTCCTTCAGTCCACCCTTCTTCTCGGGGAACTTGTCATAGATCTGTCGCACGTCTACAGCCTCCAGCGGCGGGTCGGAGAAGGCGGGGTTCGTCTGGCCGATGTGCACGAAGAGGTGTTTGCTGTACTGTGGGGAGGGCCCGGGACGGGGTCAGGAGAGCATGCGGGGCCGTGGGCCTAAGGGCTGCACTGGGACACGACTGCCCCGGGGCTTCGCCAGCCCGGGCCCCAGAGCCGTGGCCCTGGCCCACCACGCCGGGGTCTCCCAGGCTTGCGCAAATCCTCACCCCCACCCTCAGGCACGTTACCGTGTCGGGGTCTCGCTGCACCTCCATGAAGGCGGAATATTCGAGGAGCCGCAGCCGGGAGGAGGCGATGGTGCGGTCCTGCCACACGGGCACGGAGGCAGCAGCTGGGGGGGAGCGGGGTCAGGGGCTCGTAACCTGGGAGGGCGAGATGGACCCTCAACTGCATGGGCGTGTGCGCATGCTCACATCCGGAGCTGCCCCCCGGTTGCAGCTAGCCGATCCGTTGTGCGAACTACAAAATGGGGCCCCTTTCGGGTAGGAACATGGGCGGCACCCCGACCCCTCTGCCCCATCTCCTTATGCAGTGTACAACCCGCACAACTGTGCACGGTGGCCCCAGGTACTATACATAGGCGGGGGGTAGTTTAGAGGTCACTGTTAATGTGTGTTCAAACAGAAAATACGGACAAGTAAAAAGGGAAAGATAAAAATTATCCTGAATCCCAATACCTAGACAGAGTGCTACTCTGTTAAGATTTTGGTGTATTTCCAGAGAAGAATTTTATAAACATACATAAATGTAATATCTTCACTGATATGTACGACATTGTAAAAGGTAAGGGGCCTGTCCCTGACCGTCCCAATGCCCTATAAATGCCACGCCCCTCTCCCTCACCCTCCAAACACATGCAGGCCTTGCCCCCCGCCCCCTTCTGAGCTGCTGAGCGGGTGTGCAGGGGCAGCGACGGTCTTGTGCAGGGGACTTACTGCTGAGCGTTGGCGGCAGGGGCGGCTGGATGGGGTAAGCTGGCTGTGCAAAGGGCTTGATGCTGCAAACAGGAGCGCCGCCTGGTTAGAGGGTCACCGCCCCCCCCCACCCCCGGCCCACTTTCCACCTAGTCCCTTGGGAGGCTCATCTGGTCTCCACAGGGAGCCACCTGCCTTTCTGCCAAGGCCCAGAAGTGCACGCGGACAGGCTAAGCTCCCGCTTTGGGTTTTCTCCACATTGGAGCTTCTATGAAACCCTGCTGCATCTTACAACTGAGGCGCGCGCTGAACGCCGCCTTTCAACCCCACCCTGAGGGCGGCCCATGAAACTGAGGGTGTGTCTGAGGATGAAAGTCCTCTTAGAACCGAGGGAACCCAGCACATTTGACTCCCCCACGTGCTGACTCGGAGACCAACCCGGGGAGCAACCGAGGGAGAAGTGACCAAAGGGCAAACGGATGGCAAGTGGACGAGGAGGTGGATGAATGAACAAACATGAGAGAACAGACAGATGTGTGGCTCTCTTCCAGGCGCTCCCTGTCCTCTATTTTTGAATTAAAGCTTGGAGGCCAGCTCAAAGGGGACGTCCCAGTGGCAAGGGTGTGAGAGGGATGGGCCACAATACTCACTCCTGAGAGGGTCCAGGCTGCTGTCCCAGGAGAGGGGGGTTGCTCCAGAACTAGAGAGATGGGACAAAGACCAGGGGCCCCTCAGCATCCAGGACCCACCGCCACCGTCCAGCCCCGAAGGCCCTCCCTCACCTCAACAACCCCCGCCCCACCCCAGGCCCACTGTACCCGTGAGGAAGTGGAGAAGACGGCTTGGGGCAGAGGGGAGGGCGGGCTGAATTTGTTCTGTAGGACGCTGGCGGAGACAATCTGGGCGGATGACATGGAGGCCATGCTCTGGAGGGCTTTGTCCTTGGAGACCTGGTCCTGGGGAGGAGAGAGGCCGTGTGAGGATGGGCCAGGTCAGAGACGGGCTGGGGCTTGCCTTGGGGCCCCTCCCAGGTCCTAGGGCTCTGTTGTGTCGGCTCAGGAGAGTCTCAGCCCCTGCCGGGGCCTATCTCCTGAGTACATCACCCCTCTGAGCACAGTCCACATTGAGACATTATTTTATTTTATTCCATAACCCAGTATATACCCAAACATTTCCCCTTATGTTATCTGTCATGCACTCCCCTATTTCCTACTCTGTTTCATCATTGGTTCTCAAAGTATGGTCTGTGGACAGATGGTACCAGCATCACTTGGAAGCTTAGAAATGCACATTCTCGGGCCCCAGCCCAGACCCACTGATTCAAAAACTCTGCAGGGGAAGCCCGGAAATCTGTCTTCACCAGCCCTCCCAGCAATTCTGATGCGTGCTAAAGTGTGAGAACCACTCTATCTCATTTTTAAACAGTGTTGGTTGCCAACCCTATTAAGTTGATTTCACAATTCATACTTTGGAAATCCTGTATTAGGTGCTCTCCCCCTGACCTCGTCCCCAAGGGGAGGGGCAGACTACTTACCAGGTTCATGGCCTGCAAAGGAGAGGGAAGGTAGATTAGAAGAGGCACACAAGAGGGTGACATAGGGTAGGGACGCGACCTCCTCCACCCCCATCCACTCAACAGCCACCAGCCTCTCGGGTCTCAGGACCCCAGGGGAGCTCAGAGGCAGCTGTGGTCCCTCCTCCCACCTCCCCACTGCTACCCAAGGGGAGGGCTTGCTAGCTGGGGGTGCCCTGCAAAGGCAGGATGAGGGAGGGCAGGCTGGAGACCTAGAAGGTGGACCACGCTGGTGCCCCCGGGGGTCTGTCCGTGTCCTCTGCAGCTGTGATACAGGCCCAGGGGCCTGGAGCGCGAGGCCCAGCCTGGTGTGCAGCCAAGAAGCAGGGAGAAGCCACAGCTTACAGAGGCCCTGAGCCCGTGCTCTGAGATCCTCAGCTGCAGGGCAGCCAGGATTGAGCATCCAGTGCAAGGAAGAGCCAGGGCTACCACAACAGCCCTACTGGCCAGTGTGCCCATGTCTCCTCCTGCCCATCTGAAGGCCCCGTGCAATTAACAAGCAGCAATTAGGAAGGAGGAAAAGGAAAAGGAAGAAGAGAGGTGGGCCTTAGTGGCCCCCGGATGGTCTTCCTCTCCCTCACTATAGGGCTGGCTGTCACCCTGGGCTTCTGCTTAGTCTCCAAGGGCTGAGGCCCTCTGTAGCCCCAAGTGGCCTTTGGGTTTCATGCTGCTGTTTGCATTTGAGACACCCTCCCACCCGCCATAGCCCTCCAGCTGCCTCTCTGCCCTGCGCTCAGAAAACAGCAGGGCCAGGCCAAGTGGCAGGGGAACCCCTACCTTTAGCTTGGACTGAATCTCTCGAGATTTCCGCCTGGCTAGAACCTGCAAGTGGCTAGAGACCTGCAGAAAGAGAGAGAAAGAGAGAAAAAGAGCAGAAAGGGCAGAAGAGGCAAGAACAGAGCTTCAGCCAGAAAAGAGGCATAGTGAGAGCCGGCCACAGCAGAGGCCTGAGCTGTGCAGAGATAGCGGTGGAGGCGCCGAGGAGGGACCGGAGGCCCTAGTCAGGTGCCCAACATACCTTGATGCCAACCTGGTACTCCCGCACCTTCTTCCGAGCTAGAACCTGTATGTGGCTGGACACCTAGGGGCCGCCCCGCGCCCCGCCAGAGAGGAAAACACAGACAGTGAGGAGGCACGGCATGGGGTGGTCATGGTCAAGGAGCATCCCAGCCCTTGTCTCTGGGACCAAATGGAAGCCAGGGGGAATCATGGGGCCCTTGTGAGCAGACATCCCTGAGCCCTGCTAATTCTCTGCTCTCTTCTTGGCCCTATTTTGATCAAAAGCCTACCGTAGCCTCCAGGATCACTACGTACAGTTGTACAGGTCATTCACTGCACAAGAGGATCTAACCCAGTAAGGGCTAAAATCCAGCCCAAGCTCTGCCACTCAAGTTATGTGCCCTGGTGCCGGGCTGCATCTAACCCAGAGAAAGGGTATCTTTTTATTTTTCCAAGATGGGTGACTTTTTCCTCACTGATATTCTTAGAGGGGCACCTTTTTCTTATCTTTTTTTCTTCTTTGAAGGTTCCTTATTTATTCAAGTCATCTTAACACCCAATGCAGGGCTCAAACTCACAACCCTGGCTCTACTGCCTGAGCTGGCCAGGCACCTTGAGATACTTTTCTCTGATTGGCATCACCAACAGCCATAATGCTCATGCTGGCCATCAGATCATCCATCTGGGCCATGGCTTCCACGAAAGCTCTCCCCACCCCACTGCCAGGACATGGTCAAGGGTCTGACCCTTAAGCCTCAGAGAACCTATTTTCCCCAGGAAAACAGAAGGGAACACATGGATCCCCAAGGCTGCTTCACTTGAGCTCCTGATATACAATGGCTGTGGGCTTTCTCTGCAAAGTTGTTTTTATCCCCACTAAGATACAGCTTCTTTTGCTTTTTAATCATAACCTGAAATACTGTGTCTGTTGTTTCCCCACAGCGCCCCACCACCACTAGCTGGTTAGGACCCAGATGGCTGTGCCTCAGTCCGCCTCACTGGGCCCCAGAATCAGATGTCTGTCCAGCAAGGTTACCTGTCACTTCCTATGATGACAACGGTGACATTTACTGAGGAACTAGACTGTTCTCAGCATTTTACACATACCTCATCTGACCCGTACTAAGAAGTCAGTCCTAACATAATCCCCCAAGTTACAGATGAAGAAACCCGAGCACAGAGCAGTTAAGCAGTTTATCCAAGGTCACACAGCGGAGGGCTGGAGCTGGGATTTGAACCTAGGCGGCCTGAATCCCGAGCCAACTTGCTCCACCACCAAGCTATGCTCCCAGGATTCTTCTGACCCTTAGCACAGAGGACTACTGCCAAACGGTCAAGTCTGTGACAGCTGAAAGTCACATGGGACTTAATCCTAATGTAATATTTAGCTGTTTTTCCAGCATGGAGGCATTGCACTTGCTATTGATTGCTGTATGTATCTCTAAAAACCCTAACACTGCATTTTTTCAACCAAAAGTGAGACAAAAACCCTTGTCTGTCATCTGGTTGCTCTTTGCAACACATAAAGATGTGCTCTGTCCTCGCAAACATAGGTATGGCTTTGTCTGTCTTATCTATCTACCTACCGACTTATCTAATTTTTCTTAAGACTTCATTTTTTTAAGTAATCTCTACACCCTATGTGGGGCTCAAACTCACGACCCCAAGATGAAGAGTCATCTGCTCTACTGACTAGCCAGTCAGGCGCTCTGGCTTTCTGCTCTTCAAGATGTAACATTAGGGGCGCCTGGGTGGCTCAGTGGATTAAAGCCTCTGCCTTCCCCTCGGGTCATGATCTCAGGATCCTGAGCATCGGGCTCTCTGCTCAGCAGGGAGCCTGCTTCCTTTCCTCTCTCTCGCCTGTCTCTCTGCCTACTTGTGATCTCTGTCAAATGAATAAATAAAATCTTTAAAAAAAAAGATAGGCTGTGCCACTTAAAAAAAAAAAAAGATGTAACATTAATGGCAACAGCAGTGGCACATTCTTCCATTGTGCTTACTCTGTTCTAAGTGTCTTCCCATATTAGCTAATTTAATGGCCGAGGAACAGAAACTGAGGGGCAAGGCACTCCTTGCCCACAGGTGGGGGTGAGGGTATTTGAACTTGGGGATTTGATGTTCAGCCCTCCCCACTACAGTCCCAGGCTGCAGGAACAGGGCCCCTGTGGGTGGGGTCCCCCTGCTGTATCCCTAGCGCCAAGCACAGAGGCAGAGCTCTAGAATTCTCTCACTGAATAAACACTGTGCCCCAGGAACTGGCCCCAGGAGAGAGATTAATAAACGCCAGAGCAATGGGGGAGGCCCCTGCTCCCATACCGAGGGCGTGGACTCAGAATCTTCGAGATGGTGGGATGGGACAGGTCAGCTTTGTCATCTGCACATGTGGGGATCTGGCAAGGTGGGGTGCCAGGTCCAAACCCCACTAGACAGGGAGGCTGGAACGGCCGAGGATCAGAGGCACCCTCCGGTCCTCCAGTCTCTGAGCCTAGCCTGCCTCTCTCCCGGGCACCCCTGCACATCAGCCACCCCAAGCAGCCCCCTTTCTGGGTTTCCTCGCAGGACCAGAAGCCGCCCAGTCATCTCTCCCTGACACTACCACCTCCCTCACCTTTGCCACCACACCGGCCACCACCGCTGCGGACCTCTGTCCCTGCCTCAGAGCCTGGCCCTCCCTCATCCGTTACCCCAGCTGCTCCTGGGCCAGCATTCCTCGACAGCTGCCACCTGCCACTCCCTGTTCTAGTCCCTTCCATGGCACCCAGCTGCCCGGAGGGGAAAGCTGTCCCTCAGGCCTCTGGCCAACCTCCCTCCCTGTCCTCAGCACTTCCCACCCCTCTCTCCATGCACCGCACTGCTGACGGATGGCTCTTTCTGCCCAGTGGGCTCAATCCTGGATCCACTGCCTACCAGCTGAGTGACCTGGAGGAAGTTACTTAACGTCCCCCTGCCCCCATGTCTTCATCTGGAAGATGGAGATGATTACTAGACCTACCTCCCGAGGCTGCTGCGAGGAATACACAGATTCACGTAACCTTAAGCACCATGGGTGTTCAGGGATTCAATGGATATCTGACTTCCTCAGCCTGCTAGAACCTCTCCCCTCTTCTCTGCCAGGCTGAACCCCAAATTCCTTCTTAAAAATGCATCTTGGGTGTTGTCCCCTCCAGAAAGCCACGGCAACCCCCTCCTCCCTTCCCCTACCGGGTCCAGGCTCGACCCCTGTTTAGCAACACACACTCACTCTGGGCTTGGCCACGCTGCCCTGCTCTGCACCCGTGTGTCACTATCACCATCTGCCTCGATGACTGGTCGGGGGGCCACTCTGGGCAGTGACCACACCGGCCTGCCCCACGGGGCTCATCTCTGGTCACTGACCCCCAAGGCCTTGGGCGGCATGGTGGCTGCTTAGAGAGGGCAGTGCCCCCTTCTCGACAGACCGGGGAGTGTGAAGTCCCTCAGGGGAGGAAGGGGGACAGGGAGGGGCCGACGGTGGCAGATGAGGGCGCGCGCATGGGCAGAGGGCCCGGAGCGTGCATCCTCCTCTCCCTACCTGTTTTCTCGTCCGAGTCTTCCCGGTCCTCAGTTTAATGTAGCGTGCAATCAGCTCATTTCGACCTGGCATGGGGTGAGAGAAGAATGAAGAGTTGGCCAAGGGGGGCTGCTGGTGGCTGCAGACCCCACACCCCCTGTTGCAAAACACACAGACCCCCTCCCCCAACACCACCCTTCTGCCCCCTCCCCACCCTCTTCACTCCAAGAGGCACACGCAGGTGTGTGAGGGGTGGCAGGGAGCCCTAGGACCTGGGTGGCTGCTGGCTGAGGGAGGTGTGAGTAGGGGGCAGCAGGGTGGGAGGGGACAAGGTCAGGGGCCCAACAGGTTTCCCTGCAGAAAGACAGCTGGGCCGCTCACTCCTAGCCCTGGTGGCACCTCCATCCCCCTCTGTGCACGACGGGAGTTCGGAATCTTTAAGTGTAAGCATCTGTGTGTGAGCCAGGCCTGCTGCATGTGCCCCAAGAGTCTGAAAGATGGGTTCCTGTCCTAGCTGTCCTTGCGATGAGGTTGTCCAGGGACACCCTGGATAAGTCCCCTCCCTTCTCTGGCAAAACGGGCAGGAAGGGCTCAGTGGTGTTCAGCATAACTCTCACACGGATGGCCTGTGTCAGGATGTCCCTGAGTCCATCACTGTGTCCCTGAGCCTGTCCCCATGTCCCGGCTTACCAGTGTCTCTCCTGCCCTGTGAGGTGCTGACAGATGCTGATTCAATACCTTTTATCCCCCCAGTCCAGGCCCCCAGACCCCAACCCCACAAGCTCCCCACAAGGGCCACATTCTCCAGATTCCTCCTCCATGACAGAACCAGCCCCACTGCTCCTCCCTTCCTGCCTGCCCCTCTCCACCCCACTCCCTCCGCCCTGTCTAAACATACCCTGTGGGGCTGCCCCGGCCATCTGGGAGGTAGCCATCGGGGAAGCACCCGGGGACATCTGCCTGCCTTGTGAGGGGGCTCTGGGGCTCCAGTGGGCGTGGCATAGTTCCTGGGGACAGGGGCTGCAGCAGCCCTTACCACTTGGCCCAGCTGTCTCCTTTCCGCACCCCACCACGGTACTAGCCGCCGGATGGGACAGGCCCAGGGCCTGCCTCACTCAGCCATAGGCTGCCATGGAGGGTTGGAGGGAGCTGGCAAGGAGCCAGGCCCAGAAGGGTTGAGTTATCCCAAAAATGCAGCTCTGGGAGAGCCCTCTCAGGGCTGGACAAGAGGGGGACACTCCCTTCTGGAGGCAAGAGATGGGCAAGGTGGCAGAGAGCAGGCCAGGAGAGGAAGAGAGAGCTGGGGGGTGGGGGGTGTCTGAGGAATGAAGGAGTCCCCGTGTCCCTTCAGCCCTCTTCCTAACATAGGCCCTTGTCACAGTGTGGCCTGCCCTGACCCCATACCCATATGCTGGACAGAATTCGCCAGTAGGGCACCCAGGTCTCATCTCTCAGGCTTCCCCACGTGTGGGAAGGGACCCCTTCCCAGGCCTTTCTGGAGCACCAGGCACTGACCCAGTTTCCTGTGTCCACTGAGTCACCCTGAAACCTGCAGGCCAGCAGGGGGAGGAGAGGAGGACAGACGGGGATGTCAAGGTGTGGGCCCCAATCTGGTGGAGGAGGCCAGCCCGGCTTGTTTATGAGGAGGACCCAGACACACAGGCTCACACGCCCAGACTCGCCCGTGGCGGGCTGGCAGGCGGCCCCGCAGGACTTCGCCAAACCGGTTGGGTGAGGGGGCAGAGAGCAGGGGGAGGGGCCGGGAGGGCCAGGCTGCCTCCTCCAGCCAGGGCCGGTGTCCCGTGTCTCCCTACACGCACCGTACATCTTGCCCTCGTCTGACAGGATGATCTTGCGGCGGCCGCAGGGTGGGTAGATGGCCAGGGCCTCCTGGAAGCTCTGCTCGATGTCGGGGCTCCACACGCCCTCTGCGTCGTTGTCCAGCCCCTTGTCCAGGCCCTCAGGCCCATCCTCCCGGGCCTCCCCGGGGCTGCTGCTGGCATTCCAGCTGTTGGACGCTATTGTGCTGGTTGCTCTGGGCTCTGGGCCTGAGCCCACTGGGCCGCCGGAGCCTGCGGGGCAGACACAGACGGGTGAGGGCCGGGGCTCTCCCAGACCACAGCCATCTCCCAGCCCAGGGACAGGCGCTGCAGTCAGGGAGGTGGAGGCAACCAGGCTTATTCCGTGCTGTGCAGCCTTAATGAGTTACCTCACCTCTCTGAGCTTTGGTCCCCTAAGAGGAGGAAAAGGTGTCTTTGAGGTTGTGAGGCTTAAAATTAAATGAGGTCACGACAAAGGACCAACCACAATACCTCATATCTACACGGCACTTTTGTGGGCACAAAGCATGTTCATGTCCACTTAATCCTCAAAACTAAGGCAGGGAGGGCAAGGAGTGATACCCATTATTCAGAAGGGACACTGGGGCTCACAGTCGTGATGAGCAGAGTGGAGTGAACAGAGTTGCCGGGAGGACTGCTTTGCCAGATCTTTGCCCTGCTATCGGCAACCAGAGACCTCTTGCCCCCAGCCTCAGCGCAACCCTGCTGAAGACCCCCTGTGGGAGGGGGAGGGCCTGGGACCCAGGAAGGGTGTGGTTTTAACTTCCCTAAAAGATAACTCCCAGGAGACCAGCAGAACCTAAACACCGGGCAGGGACCGCCCAGGAATTGCAAGGAGGGAGCGATGCTGGCCGGCAAGGGAGCAGCCGAAAAGGTGCCCGGCCTGCAGCCTTGCTCAACCCCACCGTCTTCTCCATCCCACTTCCTGTTCCTGCACCTCCCGGCCCCACAGCAGCCCATAAACCACCCACACGCCCGCCCCTGCCCTGGCCCACATCATGGAAGAGCCAGAGCTCTCTAAACTCCGGGTTCCCTGCACACGCCAGGCTGGGTTATTAACCGAGACCACACCTGGCAGGCCCCCCAACACACGTAGCTCCAAGGCTCGCCCCACACCCCCTTCAGCCTCGGACTCTGCATGCCCAGTGTCCGGGGAGCTTAGGAGCCCCAGATGGCTAGATCCAGGGACTTGGCTCTGGTCTGCAGGGAGAGCTAGGGTGGGGTGGGGGGGGGCAGGGTAGAGGGGTGGGAGATCCTTCGGAAGCTATGGAAGGGAATTCTTTCCCCTCAGACAAGAATTCCAGGCCCTGCCAAATGGATAGGTGTCCTCTGTGCTGGACCACCTGCTTGTTTAGGGAGGCTTGACGAGCGTCACTAGTGGCATGGGATGGGGAGGGTCTAGAGGGCCAGATTATCAGATGGAAACAGAGTCAAGACTATTACTGTAATGAGAGCACCTGCCACACGTCAGGCCCTGTTCTGGGATTTTATACACATTGACTCATTTAATCCTCACGATAACCTATGCGGTAGAGACTATTATTAGCCTCACTTTACAGAGGAGGAAACCAGAGAACAGAGAGGTTAAACAACTTGTCTGACACACAGCTTGGAAGAGCTAGAGCCCGGTTCTGAGCCGGCCACTCTGGCTTCAGTCTTCTAACCAGAGGGAATGAAGCCGAGAAGCTTCACCACCTGGAGCAAGAAAGGAGGCAACCACCCTGAGCCCACCCAGGGGGCCCCGCCCTGGGGCCTCCCCTCTAGCCCAGAGGCTGGGGCAGCTTCAAGGACCCCCACCTGGCTGTAGCCCTTTCTGTGAGGTCCCCAAGACCAGGAGGAAGAGCTCTCCCACACCAGAAGGCAGCCAGGGAGAGGGGAAGCCTTGCTCCTGACCAATGAGAGGGGCCATACTCCTCCATTCCCAGGCCATTCTCCCCACGCACCCCCGTCCCCCAGGAAGCTAGATCCCTATCCCCTCCTCAACTCCTGAGGCCAAGTTCTTGGAATAAAAATGTGAGGGCACAGAGACTCTGGGAGCCCAGGGACGCCCATATTGAGGTAGTTGAGATACAGAGCCTCCCCCAGGATCTGACACTGCCACAGGCTGAGGGGAGGCAGGAGAGGGGCTGTGGTGCTCTACAACCCCTCCCAGCAGAGTCCTCAACCCATTCCCCCCAAATCCTTTCCTGAGGCCTCCCTCAGAGCAGCAGGGGCCCAGTGCATGGGGGGCCCTGGCAGCCCCAGACTTTGCAAAGCAACTTTCCTGCCTCCCCCAAGTCCCTGCCCGCCTCCCCTCTTCCAGGCAGTGCCCCCCCCTTCTCGGGGTGATGTCAACCCCGCCCCGCCCCCCGCAGGAGCACTGTGGCCAAATATGGCGAACACAGCAGTGCTTGGGAGCTGGGACAGACTGGGGGGGGCGGGGCGGCGGCCCCTGGCTGGGACCGCTGGCAGCTGGTGAGGGGGAGGGGAGCCCAGGGGGCGGCTGCAAGGACGAGTCAAGGAGACAAGTGGGACCACCGTCCCTTCTGCTGGCTCACGGGCACATGCAAGACTCACTTTCTAGGAACACTCCTGTGGGCAGAGGCACCAACACTGGGGCCCACAGGTAACCCCCCCCAACCCTGCGCAGCCAGGCACTGGAGCCCACGTGGGCAGGTATGCCGTGTGGGGGCCCGGACTGACACCCAGATGAGAACTTTTTGTACCCCGGGGCCCAGGCACCCCAGTGGGCAATGGCGAGCGGGCAGCTGTGCCGGGCAGGGCACTGAACTGGGGTCCCTGTCCTGCTGCAGCACTCAGGAGTCAGGCTGGAGGCTGTGGCAGGGGGACTGAGACCGGTGCATGCCCACCCCCTTCTCTTTAAACCCTCACACCGCTGGGGACCCAGCCTGGGGGCTGTGGGCTCTTTGGACAGTTGCAGGTTGGCCTGGACGAACGTGGGGCTCAGGCACCCTGCAGGGGAGCTGGTGGCCCCAGCCTAGGGCCGATCATCACATCATCCCCACCCTACAGAGCAGGGCTGGCAGGGGTGGGAGTCCCCCAGCTGCCTACTGGTGCTCACGCTGATGCCTGAACCTCTGTGTGCTGGGCTGTGCCATCCAGAGGGGTGGGAGACCGGGAGGAGGACCCAAGTGAGGGGCGAGGGGGTGGAGCCTGGGAGGGGCCTGTGGGTGGGGTCAAGAGAGGGAGACAGACCCCGCCAGGCAGATAAGAAAACAGACAAGGGAGACAGGAGAGTCCCAGAGAATACCCAGAGACAAAATCCCCACAAAACCTCGGGGTGAGCCCCAGAGGAGAGATCCAGAGAGAGGCAGGCTGACAGAACAGAGAGGGTGCTAGAGAGAGTTGGATCCAGAGATGGTGGGGGCCGGAATCACAGCTAACAGACCCAGACAGATGGAGACCAAGACCGAGATAGATGGAAACACATAGTTAGGGGGCTAAAAGGGGCAGGAAGGGGGAAGATCAATAAACTCAGATGCAGTCAGTGAGGGAGGGGAGAGAGGGAAAGAGAGAGAGAGAGTTATGTACATATAAGCCGACAACAGAGCCCAGGGTTCAGGACAGACCCTAGAAGGAAGGAGTGTCAGGGAAGACATTGCTGGGGGCCAGGGTCAGCCACAACAGGGTCATGTCCAGGACACCCCACTCCTGTCCCATCTGTCCTACGTCTTCAGGACCATCTCCTATGTCTCTCTTCAGAGGCCCATTATTACCACAGGCTGCAGACCCCTACCCCCGGACCTGGGGCCCACTCTGCCTCTACCCTCTGTCGGACCAGCCATTCCTGCTTCACCTCTTTGAGGGCCCTCAGCTTTCTAAGGTCAGAAGGTGCCTCTGGGTGGCGGCAGGGATGGGAGCTAGGAGGCTTGGTGAGCAGGCTCTGGGGCCCCCAGGGGAGATAAGGGGCCCCTTGCTGCCCACTCCCCACCCTCGGGCCAGACTGCTGGAATAACTGGCTGGACAGCTCCGGTGATGGAGGCCTGCCCTGGGCAGCTGCACAGGTCCTAGCTCCCTCTACCCCAACCCCCACCCCAGGCCCCGCAGCCTCCAGACCACCCAGGCCTATACTTCCCTTTCAAGGGAGTAGGGGAGACAGGCCTGAAGCTTGGGCTCCCCCAGCCCTCTGCTCTGATGGGAATGGAGACAAGGCCAGTCAAGGAAGGTGGGTGTCATCCCCAAGTCCCTGGCTACCCTTCCTTACGTAGCAGCCCCACTGGGAGGACAAACTGAGCCCAGTGACCCTCCTGGGTCTACTGGTCAGCAGCTGTCCACTCCTGCAGGGCCCACAGCCCCCCAAGGGCTCTCATTTGGAGGGAGAACAGCCACTCCAAAGGCAGGAAGATTAGTGAAATCAGCAGTCGCATCCCGAATCTCCCGCCCCAAACCTGGGCTGGGCTGACCCACCAGGGGGTTGAGGATGGGGAGGGAAGCTCCCCACCCGCTCTGCCTTTCCCTTCTTCCTCCTCACCCACCCCCACAGCGGGGCCAGCTGTTCTCCAGCTGCCAGAGGCTCCCACCCTAGAAGGAGCCATGCTCTGGTTGGGACTGGAGAGGGGGCAGGAGGGGGATGGTGTCTGCCTTTAGCACAAGGACCCCTGGGGGACCCTGCCAAGTGGCCACACCCTGCCAGACTGGGGAGGGAGTACCCTCCTCCCTGGGGCAGGGCTGAGATTTTTACAGGAGGAAGCAATTTGCAGAGCCCACTAGGAGGGAGGTGGGGAGGCCTCCTCCCCTCTCTCCCGCTTATTAATGTGCTTCCAATTTGGGAATCAAGACTCTGCACCCACCCACTCCCACTACTCAGAGCACAGGCTTCCTAGTGGACCAGAAGGGGCAGGATGCCCCCCAAGCCTTTCTTGTCCAAAGCTCATCCTCACTGTCACCACCCCTGCACCAGTGTAGGAGAGTGGGAGGTAGAGTTTCTAAGCCCTCAAACCTCTGCAGAGAGAAGGCAGAAGAGAGAGGAATGCCTGCAGTGGGAGACGTCCCTTCACCCCTACTCTAGGACTCTGTCCCACCTCATTTTTTTTTTTTTAACTCAATCACCTCTATGCCCAATGTGGGACTCAACGCCACGACCCCGAGATTGAGAGTCGCACACTCCACCAACTGAGCCAGCCAGGCGCTTTCTGTCTCCTCTTGTCCCACACCAGTGAAGGCCGGGTGTCCAGCCTGGGGGTGGGGGTGGCAGCCCATGGGTAGCTTGGTTAAGCCGGTTTCACAGTTGTCCATGGCCATGCCTGAGGGTCTCCTCTCAGCCTGCCCCAGCCCCTGGTACTGTGTCACCCGCTGAGCTGCCACCCGTCATTCGGCTGACCCCCCACCACTGTGACAGTCACAGTGTCCTCTACAAACATCCAGGCTTCCTCTTGGCTCTGCTCGCTCACACACACGCTCGCCTGCCACCGTCCCGCACATCCACGGTGACCTGCGTTCCTATCCTGTTCCTTCTTAAGCTTTTCATTGCGCTAACATACACGTAACATCCCCTTTACCATGTTTAAGCACACCATTCAGTGGCATTAAGTACTTTCCTTCTTTGTTTTTAAGGGTTCACCGTCCTCCACGCAGATGCCCCAGGCATCAGGGTCATGGGCTCCCAAATATGTCACACACGGTCTCCCAGGCATGCCTGGCTCAGCCCTGATGGCTGTCACCCACGCTGGCCCCGGGTCCCCGCAACCACAGAGTGTGCCCACCCACGGAGGCCCCCGGTCCCCCCCACCGGTCCCCTGACTCACAGAGCTGCAGGGGCAGGGTCTAGAGGCCAGGGTGCCCCCACACACACCTTCTTCCCCACTCAGCTTCTCACATAGCTACTCAGCGGCGTGTCACCATGCATCTCCTCACACGCACCACATACCGTCCTAAGTTTTACACGTGTCCCGTACAGTTGCACACACAGCCTGTCAGAGCTCCAAAAACCTGAGACCACTTCATGTGCTATAAACACACACACACACACACACACACACACACAAAGCACGCACAGTATTACATGCGCTCACCCCTCAGCACCTGACGTCACACAGAATGGCACCCGTTCTTGAACAATCGCAGTGTCCCTCACACACGCAGAGCATCAGGATCCCCGCGGGGTCAGACCCAGGCTCACGCTGCTGGTCGCTGAGAAGCCATGTCCCCTGCGATGGCCACTCATAGAGACCATGCGTACAGCTTCTTTCACACACACACACACACACACACACACACACACACACAGAGGACATCACTCATGGTGGCTCCCACGTACATACAGTATCAGTCACACACACCAGTGTTCTAAAGTCACAGGCAGTGTCACACACAGTTTCTGTCCTGTACAAGTCCAGCCTCACATGCAGTCACAAGAACTGGTTTTAGCCGGTTCTCTCACACTTGCACCCCTCACCGCCCCAGTCACCCACGCAGAATGTCCCACTCAGTTTCTCTCTCACACACGTCCAGCATCACACACGGTTGCACTCTCATTTCCCTGTATCGCTTCCTGTCCTTTCAGGCCTGGCAGGGAGCACAGGAAACAATCAGCACTCTAGGAAACCTCAAGGGCTGAGGCTTTGGGGACCTGTGGAGGGACAGGGATTCTCTGGCCTCCAGCCTCCTGTGGAACCCTTCGAGGACAGGCAAAGTCTGTTCCCCTCTCGGGTCCTTCCCTGAGGGGCAGCACCTCTCTTGCAGACAAGCCCAGGCTGGCGTGACACCAGGACAGAGGTGAGGGCAGGGCAAGGCCTTGAGGATGGGGCTGAGTGTGATCTGCTGACCTCAGACCAGAGAGGCTCCCGCCATGGCTCCAGGGCTGCCTCTGAGGTCCATGGAGACCTGGACCCCACAACTTCTGCAGTTCTCACATGGGAAGAGACAGCGACCTCTTAGCTACTGCCACAGAAAGCTGCAGCATTTAGGGCTCTCCTCACGGCTCCCCAGCAACCTGGGGTCTGGCACCCCAGATCCCTTCCCCACTCTCCTCATCGTGGGTGGACCCCTCTGCTCCCCAATCCTTCCTAAGTGAGGAGGTGGGCAGGACTGATAGCTTCAGTTCCCTTCCAGCTTCCGCACTGAGCCCTTTGGAGGGTCTGGGAGTCAGGCAGAGGGGCAGGCCATCCACGTGAGCTCACAACACAATTCACCCCGGCCAGCCTTGCCAGACCCCAGGGTCACTGCAGAGGGCAAGTTCCCCCAGCTCCACCTGGCTTCCCTGTCGCTCGACGCCTGCTGCCTGCAATCTTTCAGCCATACTTCACCTGACTTACAAACTGCTCAGTCACCCCCTGGTTTGTCCTCACTTTCTTCCTTAGCTCACTGATCGTCCACTCACCTCTCCAGACCTCACCAGGTTCATGGTCCATAATGGAAGGAGCAAGGACCACTGACTAGAAGACCGAGACTCTGGAAGGAGCTCAGAGATAGGGGACCTGAGAAGTCATTTATTTTAAGCAGGGAAACTGAGGCCCAAAATGACACAGGTGGTGAAAGGCCCAGCTGGGACCAGATCTCTAATTTCTTGACATCCTCTTTGAGATGTCCCCTCCTGGTTCTAATATTTCCAGAATACAAAGGGTCCACAAACCTGAGCAAGGATGGGAGCACAAAGACAGACAGACAGACAGACACGCAGGGGGACACACACACAACACACTCACACACACACACACACACACACACACACACACAGCTCTGTCCTGCCAATCACTGACCATCCTACAGAGCCAGTCCCCAGCCCCAATGCACTAATTAGCATTAATTATTGTTCCCTCCCTAGGGGGGTGGGGTAAGGCTCATGAAGTTGAGAATCCCATTGGCTCTTAGCCTCTCCCTGAGGAGAGGACATCCAGGGCCCCTGAAGTCACCCTCACCGGTGAGCCTGTTCCTAGAAGTTACATCTGTCCGTCCCCTGCCCACAGGGTGAACTGGGATCCACAAGACCACAGAACCATGTCCTGGAATGACACCCTCCTGGGGGAGGGTCTTGGAAAAGGAGCTGCAAGAATCTGGAAGGGAGGAGCACATAATCCCCCTAAATGTCCAACTTTGGGGGACTCTAGATTTCCTTTTTGCCCAGGCTGCCCCCGATATTCTAGCCAAGGAGGTGTCCAGGCCCCCTGCACTGGGGTGAGACGTGTATACACAGGCCACAGGAGATGGGATACGCAGAGCAGCCCTGAACTCCAGCCCCTAAGCTGTGTCCAGTCCCTACCCCCATCCCCTGCTTTCCTGGACTACAAGTCCAGGCCTGACCTGGTTCTGCCTCTACCTGGAGAGAAAACACAAAAGGAGGTGCCCCTTGAGAAGTCCTCCCCCAAGGCCTCATTCCCTCTTGTCCAGAAAGAATCTCTGAGCCCTGGGCCGCTCTCCCAAAAAGGTGACAGAGTGGGGTCTCAATGACACTGCCCTGGGGCCGGGCTAGCTAAAAACCAGATGCAGGCAGGCACTCCTGGCCTTCCCTCCCCAGTGGTGGTGGTAGTGGAGGGGACAAGCCTCCTTCCAACCCTCTAAAGTCTAAACAAGGGCTCTAAGGAAGTGTAGAGAAAATAAGGCCCCAAAGCCAGCCCTCTTTGGAGCCAGGCTCCCAGAGCCCTGGTCTGGACTCCGAACCTCCACCCCAACAGGGGCGGCAGAACTGGAAGGAGCTGAAGCCCCTGCTTCTCAGGGGGCGCACGCCCAGGGCACGAAGCTCTGCTCCCAGACACACTCCACAATCCAGCGCAGCCACAGGCACCGCGCGCCGGAGCCGGCCTGGGCGTCGGGAGGCCGGGCCCGAGGCCTGCGTGGAGCTGGGGCCGGGCCGGCTCCGAGAGCGCGCGAGCCGGGAGTCCAAAGGGCGGCGGGGCCCGGGACTAGGAGTCCCGGGTACGAGCTCCCCGGTGGCAGGCCCCCCAAAACGTGCGGCCCCCAGACCCCTGCCTCGACACCCCAAACGCGGACGTTTGGGGTGTCGAGGGACAGGCGATGGCACCGGGGACACTCTCCCTGCTCCCCGACCTCCCCCGACCAACTCGTCCGGGTCGCGGGGGGGGGGGGGGTGGGGGGGGGGGGGGGGGGCGGGGCTTCCCGGAGAGCTTCCCCCCCCTTCCCTCTAAACTTCCCGGCACCCAGATCCGGGGCTCGGGCTAGAGCTGGACAATAGCTCGGGGACCCAGCCCCCCTTGAGTGCCCCCCCAGTCCAGAACCAGCCAACCAAACCACCTCTCCCAGCAGGGCCTCCTCCCCACTTCTGCCCGGCTTACCTGGTCCGAGCTCGGGGGGGCGCTCCGGCCGGGCCGCTCCGCCGGGCCCGAAGGAGCTGAGAGGGGGGCAGGGGAAGGGGGGTCTTGGGGAGGGGGCTGGCCGGAATGTGCGGAATGAGCCGGGCTGGAGCGGGAGGCGCCGGGCGCGGAGGAGGGAGCGAGCGGGACGGAAAGTTTGTGTTGAGGAGCCGGGGCGGGGGGTGGGGGCTGAGGGGAAGGAGGGGGCGGGGCGCGCAGGGGGGCGGGCACCGGCCGGGAGGGGCGGGGCCGCGCGGGGCCGCCCCCAGTCGGCTCTCGGGCTGCCCACCCGGCGGCTTCGCGACCGGTGGCTGCTCCCAGCCTTCCCGCGCCTAGGCGCTCCCCTCCTCGCCTTCCTGTGCCATGCTCTCAACCTCCCCCTGCACGCCGGGTCTTACCCCACCTCCCCAGGACCCGACCGCAGTTTTGGGGCTCAGGCCTGGGCGGGGCCGAGGGCGGAGCTCCCGCCTACCCGCTGGACTCCAGTCGGGGTGCCGCGTCACGAGGGACCCCGCGGAGCCGGAGCGCACGGGCCTTGGGGCTCCCTACCCACGCCCCAGTCCCGAGCAGCCGAGGTGGAGCGCCCTCTCCCGCCCGAGAACCCGCCCCCAACTCTCGGGGCCCCAGACCCAGCCCCGCCCTGGCGACTGCGCCCGCCCTGCCCGGACCCGGTTTGTCTGGTTCTCCCCGAGAGGCTTGTTTCTCGAATTTCTCCCTTTCCCCCTCTTCCCGGACCTCCGGGGCCCTCCCTCTCGGCCCGGGGCCCCCGCGGGGGGCGTCTCGACACCACGAGCCCGCCGAGTTTCGGTAGGACCGGCGCTGGGCGCGGGGGAGGGGACGCGGGAGCGCCCCGGGCCTGGGCGGGAGCGGGGTTGGGGGTGGGGGAGGCTGGCCTCCAGCCCGCCCTCCGGACCTCTCCCGCGCTCCGGACCCCTCCCGCCGCCGCGTTCTCGGCACGCGCTGAAGAACCTCTGCTCGCTGGGTCTGGGACGCGGCTTTATTGGGGATGTGGGTACCCGGTCTTCCTCCCGCAACACCTACCCCCTCTTCCGAGCCCGCCCCACTCCTCGGAGCCCTTAGGACGATCCCGGAGGGGGTTAAAACAACACTGACTACTGCTCCTGGACAGGAAGTGACTGGGGCGCGGGGCGGGGAAGGGGGGCGGCTGGTGAAGCGGCGCAGGCTAGCTCTGCGACCAGATGTGCGGCTCCCGATTCCAGATGTTCTTCATCTCTGTCGGACCGCCGTCTGAGCTCCTCCCCTGCCTCGGCCTGTGCCAGGCTGGGGAGCGGATGGAGGTCACTCGGAGACAGAGGGGTCAGCCCCGGACAAGAGAGGAGTCTTCAGTGGGGGCTTTGGCGAACGGACCCTGCGGGCCTCCACTGAATCCTTTCCCCCACCCTTGGCGGGCGCTGGGGGTTGCCGGGGTCACTCGCAGGCCAGCTTCCCGTCGAAACTGGAGAGGGCGATGGCGAAGGCCTGCAGGGCGCACAGCGGGTAGCGGTAGTCTAGAGTGAAGGCGTCCTCCGCCACGCGCCCGAACTGCAGTACGATGTAGTCCGCTATGGACACAGACAGGGAAGCGGGGGGGGCAAGATTTCCTGGGGTCCCAATCCTGGCAGGCAGTGTCCTCACCTTTGGGAGAAGTCTCCCTCTTCTGCTTTGGGGCCCTTATCCTCAGCCTCCATCTCAATTATTTACCCTCCACCCATCCACCCCTTATCTGGCCCATCTGGCCCCACCTGCAGCTTGACCAGCCTTCAGACTATAAGCCCCTGAGGGCAGGGACCCTGCCTTATCTTCTGCCACCCAGGGCTGTGTGTACGCCAGGCACTTAAATATAGGAACCTGTCACACATCCCCCAGCCTAGAATCGTTTTCCAGTGGCTGCGGCCTCATTCCTTCCCATCCCCAGCCCCAAAGTCCCATCTTAGACTGCCAGGCTCTATCCCTTCACTAGCCCCTGCGTCCCTACCTTATTGAGTGGCTCCACTCAGCCCCATCCCATATCTGGTCCAGGATCCCAGCCCCAGTCCCAACACCTCCCCCAGCATCCATAGGAACAGGAAGTTGCTAAAAATACCCCTGATCTCTGCAGACCAGGCTCCACCAGAAATGTGATCTGGAGAGCAGTTTTCTAAAGCCTTGGGACAGGTGACACTAGGGACACATCCCTAGGATGGAATGGGGGATGGAGAAGTTGCTCGGTGTCAGCCAATCCTGGGAACCCATAGTCCCTTGGGAGGTACCTTTCCACCCCAAACTTCTTCACCCTAGTGGGAACCTGTCCCCCAGGCCTGTAACAGGGACATTTTTATTTAATTGTGTTCTGGGCATATCTTGTTTCCTTAACTCCTTGAGGGCAGGCCTTTGACCTTACTTGAGGACAACAGAGTAGGCATTCAAAGATGCTTGATGAATAATTCCTAGCCCTGCAAAGCAGCCATCTTGAAGCGATTGGGTCCTGGGGCCCTAGAACCAGACCACCTGGGTTCTCATGCCAGCTCTCCCTCTCTGAGCCTCAGTTTTCTCATCTGCCAAGTAGGGACAATAATAATACCTTCCTCAGGTATTGGGGGGACAGGGTTGTTGAAAGATTTAATGATTCAGTAACTGTAAAGTCCGGAGAACAGTGCCTAGCACATAGGAGGCTCTGTGTATCTGTGAAATAAATTCTCATGGCCAGTGGGAACTTTTGGAGTTGCTGAAAGACTCTGGGGAAGGTGCCGCCCTCTCTGAGCCTCAGCAGCCTTTTTGAGTGGTTCTCAAGCTCCAGCAGACTAACTCTCCCTTCAGCATAGTCTTTCTTACCCAGAATATCCCAGTATCCACCCCAGGCTCTAGTCAATGCTAGAAAGAAGGCCTGGGACAGAGAGCCCCAAGACAACTGCTTGGAATATTGGAGGTTCCTGGGAGCATGCTGTCAATGCCCATGCAGGAGGGAGTGACTTTCTTAGATGTTCTGGCTCCAGAGATCAAGGACAGCTTTGTGCACACCCGCTCACGCTTGTGTGTGTATGAGAGAGAGAGAGAGAGACAGCCAGGTGGTGGGGAAAGGCCCGAGGGAGGGTCAGGGTCCTGGAGGTGGTGGGGAACAGCCCAGCTTGGGGCCTCAGATACTCACGGTCATCGGCGTGAATAATCTGGAAGTTCTTGACCGAGGCTTGTGTGACTCGGCCTTGGAAGTTGAGTGTGTAGGAGCCGCTATCTTCGTTCCAGATAGGTGGCTTGTTGTGCAGCTCAATGAGGCTCTCCAGTGTCTTGTTCTGCCAGCGCACCAGCAACCCATCGCTGGCCTGGGGTGCCAAAGTAGAGTGTTAGGGAGAGGACGGTTAGGGGTGGCCGAGATACCTCGGGACCGAGGGGAGGGGGCCTGGGGACCTGGGCCTGCCTTCGCATGCGTGTGCTGGTATGCAGCCTGGACATCGACATCCATTCGGGGGATCCCCGAAAGGACACTTGGTCTCTGTGGTGTCCTTGTGGGCAGGGTGGAGCTCTATGAGAATGGGGTTTCCCTGTGGGATGTCAAAGTGGAGGGTTGGGAAGTAGCACTTGGCCCCCAGTAGGCGTCCATGCGCTTGACCCCCAGTGGGCCTTCGGAACAGCCGCATGCTGGCACCTGATCACAAGAAGGCACCAAACAGGAGCGCCTCGGTGGCTCAGTGGGTTAAAGTCTCTGCCTTCGGCTCAGGTCATGATCCCAGGGTCCTAGGATCGAGCCCCATATCAGGCTCCCTGCTGAGCAGAGAGCCTGATTCCCTTCCTCTCTCTCTGTCTGCCTCTCTGCCTACTTGTGATCTCTGTCAAATAAATAAATAAAATCTAAAAAAAAAAAAAAAAAAAAGAGGAAGGCACCAAACAGGCTAAGTTCGCCGAGGAGCTCACAGTTGCGCGTGGGGAGATGGACAGGTGAACAGCGGTTAAAATAAGATGTCCCAGAAGAGTTTCTCAAAGGAAGGAGTGGTGTCTATGGGATAGCGCTCCTGAGATGCTCCTTTCCCCAGTTCCCTTGGCACTGGTCCCATCATGGCTTAGAGTGAGTCGGCACAAGATCATGACCTCTGAGAAGCCTCCCTGACCTGGTGTCTGATTTCGATGTCTTAGCTCGAGGCTCCCTCCGTAACACCTTGCTCTTACTGTTTCTCCCACTACACTGTCATAAGCAGAATTAGATACTTAAAGGGAAGGCATTATATTTTATTGACAGCTCCGTGCCTCAGTTTCCCACACAACAGGGTCTTGTGAGGATTAAGGAAGGTAATAGTGCATGGCATGTTATTCAGATCAGTTAACAGCCCAGAGTGAATGCTCAGTAAATGTCGGATTGCTCTGATGGACAGTGAAATGATGAAGTTACCCGGAACGGCCCTGGGGAGTTCTCACCAAGCCCAAACACACCCAGGAGGCACTGCCTCTGGAGCTTTTGTGTGTTTAGTCCAGGCCCGGAAGGAGCAGCTGTGGGACCCCACAGGTCCTAGAGACTAGAGCCTTCCATGCCTCATGCCTCATGGGTTGGCTGAGCCTCTGATTACAGTGTGACTTGCCAGCATGGAAGGATGAGTGATCAGCTGACGGGTGTTATTTTTCATTGTAAGTAGTGACATCACTACAGGTATGGAGCAGGCCAGTCATCCTGTTTCTGCAGTCCTGGGCTCACTGACCTGCCAGTGCCAAGGAGCAGAGGGAGGGACTGACACTGAAGGAGGCCACCTCTCCCTGGGCCATCTCTCCCTCCTACCTTAGACCTCACACACAAACAAGCAATCTTTGCTTTTTAAAATAAAAGGCAAATCAAGTCACTCCTGAAAACCCTGCTGTGGCTTCCTGTTTCTGCGAGTACAAACCAGTTATACAGGCCCTATCTGCAACTCAACCCTCACCTCTCACCTCAGACCCACCAGGCACCATCCTGCCTCAGGGCCTTTGCACTGGCTCTTCCCTCTGCCTGGATGCTCTTTCCCCAGGTATCCGTCAGCTTGCTCCCTCACCTCCTTCAGGTCTTTGCTTAAACATCACCTTTTCAATGAGGCCCACTCTTTTTCTTTCTTCCGTACGACTTGTGACTTTCTAACATTCTACACAATTTACTTATTTGCACAATTATCGCCTACAGTCTGGTCTGTCTCCTCCCCTAGAATGCCAGCTTCATGAAGGCAGATCTTTTTTACTCACTGATGTCTTCCAGTTGCCTAGATTAATAATCAGCACTCATTATACACTGAAGGTGGATAGTACAATATACGCAATATGCAATTCATTCAGTGAATGAATATATGAATGGATGATGTGGTATACACTGAAAAAAAAAAAAAAGCCATTGTATTTGTTTCAGTGAATTCAATTACAAAACCCCCTAATTCATCCCACGAGTTTCCAGAATGAATGGATGTGCCCAGGAAGTTGGGTATGGGCAACCTGAGCCCCTCACAACCCCCCCAGCACCCCAGGAGTGGGTCATGAGTGGGTCAGGTGGGAGCAGGATCCTCAGGGAGAGGCGTCAGGGAGGTGCTGGGCTCACATTTCGCGGCCGGATGGGGACCCTCTCGTTGTCCGAATTCATGCCAGGAATGATGACCGTCATGCGCCGGGGTCCCCGGAAGCCCAGCACATTGGTTTCCTGGGAGGGAGATGCCTGTTAGGCCGGCCCATGTGAAGGGGAGTGTCCTGCGGGGGTGCGCCCAGGGGGATTCTCACATAGATCACCGCTGCCAGTTCCTGCCGAAGGCTTCCTACGTTAGTGCTGCCTCCTCCACGGTGCGGGTTCTGCCCATTGTCAAAGACGGTAAAGCGGTTGCCCAGGAGATTGGACCTGCAAGCAGGGCGGAGCTGGGGGCGGGGCTGAGGGATTCCACACCCCTGCTCCAAGACCCTTCCTCACTGCCAGGCAGTTTGGAGAGCTTCCTGTGTCAAGGGTGTGGGTGTCTTAGGACAGAGCTACTCTTGTCCCCTGCCCCAGGCGCTCCTCATGAGGTCTTTTTAGAAGCTGAATCTGGAAGGACACTGGACAACCTTCAGATCTCAGCTCCATCTCTTACTGCGTGACCCTAGGCAGGCTAAACTCTGAGCCTCAACTTTCCCCTCCGTAAAATGGGCCTAATGGCAGTATCTAACTCACTTGGTCAAGAAAGGGACTAAATGGATTCATATTTGGAAGTTAGAACGATGCCTGACACATAGGTAGGCCTTTCATAAGTGTTTGTTAAGTATATAAATATAAGAAATAAGGCGTGACTCGGGGGTCCCCCTTGCCCTTACCTCTCAGATGTGCAGTGAGGATTAGATGAGATATATGGGGGGGACACAGCACAGGTTAGGTGCTGGATATTTGTTTATGCATTCACTTAGTAAATGTTTTATTGAGTTGCTACATGTACCAGGTGCTGGGAATTCAGCCACGAACCAGACAGGTACCGACCGTCCCTGCCCTCATGGACCTTATGACCTATGTTAAGTGAGGTCCTTGGTCCAGCAGCCTGGGCATCACCTGGGGACTTGTTAGGAATGAAGAATCTTGGCCCACACCCAGACCCACTGGGCCATTTTAACAACGCTTCCAAGTGATCTGTGCACATTCACGTGTGGGACGCCCTGGGGCAGGGGACATTTCTAGAGTGCCCACTGTGGCGGACACTGCCAGGCACAGGGAGATGGAAGCGACTCGCCGTGGCATTCTTATGGCCCCCGGGCCTCCCAGCCCCACCTCAGCTTCCCAATGAAATTCTCCCCTCCTCTGGACAGATTGGTGGGGTCGCTGGATATGAGGTAATTGGCCGTCTTGCTACGTTTCCGCTTCCTGCCAGCCAGGAGAAACACCTGGGGAGAGAGGGACACAGGTGAAGGAAGGAGGCATGTGAGAGGGAAAGGAAGGCCTGTTTGTGTTGGACTCCACCCACCCCCTGGTATTTTGGCTCTAGGCAACCCCCCCCTACCCCCGCCGCCAGCCTGGGTGCTGAAACCTACAGTCTGTCTCCCCTGCCGCCTCCCCCCTACCCACCTTCTTCTCCGTGTCCAGGTGCAGGAAGTAGGAGGGATACAGGCCCCGATCCATGCCTTTCTTGTCCCGGGTCAGCCTGCAGCGTACTGTCCGGCCCTGGGGCGCAGGCCGGAGCACAAACTCCCGGGGCTCATCCACTTCCATGGGTGGGGATGGGGCTCTCTCCTCCTTCTGGTTTGGGGCAGAGCATGTATCAGGCCCAGAAGCACTGGCTCCCCTGCTCTCAGCAGGTCCCCAGTACTGGGACACAGGCAGGACAGGCAGGACAACTCACCGCTTTCTGTGTGGGAAGAGAACAGATGGGCCAGCTACAGTAGGTTGGGCCCCCACACTTCCCCAGGCTCTGGGGAGTTTGGCATTTCATTATTATTTTGTTTGGCTTCTGGTTAAGAGCCTGGGCTCTGGAGCAAGACAGCTTGGGTTCAAATCCTGGTTCCATCACTAACTCGGTCATCTTTCACTTGAAACACCATATGACTCAGTTTTTTCACCAGAGAAATGCAGAGGTTGGGGCTGGATACCCGGGAGAGACCTTACTTCATCTCTATATTTAACAAACACTCATATAAAGTCTACCAATGCGCTGGGCATTGCTCTAAGTATCTTCCAAATATTAACTAATTCAATTCCCTTAGGTAACTACTGAAGTTGTTGTCCAAATTTACTGAAGTTGAGGCTCAGAGAGGTTCAGCAATTTGCCCAAGTTCAAACAGTTAGTAAGAAGTGGAATTGGGCTTTATTTTTTTTTTTAAGATTTTATTTATTTATTTGACAGAGAGAGAGAGATCACAAGTAGGCAGAGAGGCAGGCAGAGAGAGGAGTAAGCGGGCTACCCACTGAGCAGAGAGCCCAATGTGGGGCTTGATCCCAGGACCCTGAGATCATGACCTGAGCCAAAGGCAGAGGCTTAACCCACTGAGCTACCCAGGTGCCCCTGGAACTGGGCTTTAAATGGTACCTGTTAGAACCAGAGCCTTAGAAAGATCTTCCGTGTGGACACTGTCTCAAGGGGTGAGCTGAGGTGGGGCCAAAGGTATGAACCGCTGTGTTCTAGAATATTAGCCACTGCTATCATTACAGTGTCTGGTAAATATCAATAACTGTAGTAGCCAGCCTCCAAGATGAGGCCCAGCGATCCCCGCCTCCTGGTATTTACATGTCATGTAGTCCCCCTTCTACATCTTATCAGAGTTTGGTCTCTCTGACCAATGGAATATAGCCCAAGTGATGGGGGGGGTGGTCATTTCTAAGGCCTGGTCATAGAAGATATGGTGGCCTCTCCTTGCTGTCTCCCTTGGGCCACTCTTGAGCCCTGGGTGAAGTTGGCTGCTATGTCATTAGACCATTCAGGCCACCCTATGGAGAGGGCCCCAGCCAACAACCATGACAGTGAACCATTTTCAAAGCGGATCCTCTCTTTCCGGCCAAGCTTTCCGAGTGACTGCTGACCCAACTGACATCTTGACAGCAATCTAGGGACAGACTCCCCAAGCCCAAAGTATCTTGCTAGGCCCCTCCTAGATTCCTGAATTCCAGAAACTAAGAAAAGAAATGTTTGTTTTTTTAAGGCACTAAGTTTTGGGGGTGCTTTGTCAGACGGCAATACAGAGGTAAGACAATGAATGAATAAAAAAGATTATCTTGCTCATAGAAAAACTCCCAATCACAGTTTGGTGGCATTCCCCCCTAGGGTGGCCTAGGCCCAGCCTGGTGACCCCACAAACCTGGTGTCCTCCACCCTCATGTTCTATCCCTCTCCTAAGAGGGAGAGCCAAGATTCCAACCCCAACTTTCCCACTATAGGGAACTTTCCCACTAAGGGGCTATAGGAGAGCCACGAGGAATCCCTGATAGGCTGAGGTTGGCCATTTTTGCCGAGGACAGGTTTGGACTGCGTGTGAAGTGAGGCTGGTGTTGGTGAGCAGGCCCGTAGCCCGCAGGCCAGGGAGCATCTCCTCTCCACTCTGAGCTGCTCCTGAAGAAACTCGGGAAATGTAAGACTATGTTTGGAATGTGATGTGGAGAAAGCCAGAGCTTACTCAAACAGTTCCACAGCTGTGAATTTCTAGGGCCTACTGTACAGGAGGCGGCACTGCGGTTGGTTATATTCCCTGTGGGAGATAAGAAACTGGCCTTTCAGTATATATATCGGAATCTGGTAAGGTTGACTAATGTGAGTCAGTCCCCTAAGACCTGACCACTCCTGAATGAACCAATAAATGCACATGGCTCAGACCCTGGCCCTGCCCTCAGCGTGATATCTCCACTTGTGGAAACCAATTTCTCAAAGCCTTTCATCCCTTTCTCTCTCCAGTTTGACCGCCCTCTCCTGCTTAACTCCAGCTTGTCCAAGTTGGTGCCTGAGTCCTTTTTGTGAGGAAGAGCAATATTCAAAATAGTTAGTAACCTGTTCTGCCCCTGAGAATGCCCCTGGGTCTGAATGGACCCTGGTGGGCCTGGAGGAGGGTTCTGGAGGCCCCTGTCTGCCCGTGTTAACCCTTCAGCTGCCAGAAGGTTGGGCCATCCTGGGTGTGCTAGCGGAAAACACTTGGGGCCCCAGAGCAGTAGTGTGAGAACATTTTAACAACTCACACAGTCAGTGAACATGCTCTGCCTGTGTGTTCTGCCTCTCTGGTACAGAAGATGGGTGTCCCTTCATGTGGCAACTGTGTGAGCATCTCTGGCTGGGGCTGCTGGTTAGGCAGCAGAGGGGAGGGCTTAGAGCCCAGATAACATCAGGCCCTCAGGGAGCCTATCCCAGCCCAGTGACCCCTCAGCCGCCTTCTCTGTTCTCACAAGTCTGGTGCCCTTTGTCCTCCTATCATGTTATCAGGGAGGGAGTCAAGATTCTAACCCCAGCCCCATTCCCCCACCCCACGAGGTTCTATACTCTAGTCCCCCAAACCCAGGCCCCTGCTCCCTGAAGGGGCCTCAGCCCCCTTCCCCTCTGGATCCCAACCTTTTTGGCTTTTCCTTTTGCTTTGCCCTTCTGATTGCTGTTCTTGGTCCCCACGGCTGCCCCTTCTTCCTCCTCTTCCTCGTCCTCCTTCCTCTCCTCTTCTGGGCCTTTGGAAGTGCCTGGGCATGGAGGGGGAGCAAGCCTGTATGCCCCTGACCCGGCAGAGCACTAACCCCCACGTCTTACTTGGACCCTCCCCACAAATACAAGAGAGTATTCCCGTGTTATCAGAGACTCAGAAAGGCTAAAATACCTGCCTGAGGCCACACAGCTATTCAAGTGGGGAGCAAGATGGCCGTCAAGTCGTCTGACCCCAGAGCCTGCTCCTCACCTGACTCTGATCCCTGCATCCCGGCTCCCCACCCCCAGGATGGCTTCTCCACATCACGGCACACAGACCACAGCCACCCACCTTTCTTCTTCAGAGCTTTATCAGATGAGCCTTCTTCCCGGACCAGAAACAAGGCTGCTGGAGTCTTCTTTCTCACTCTGGCCGGGCTCCCTGAGGGGTCCCTGTCATTCTCCCCAGACCCTGTGTGGGTGGATGTGAAGGAGACACAGTCCACCACACCCAGAGTCCCCTGTTCCTCCGGAGACCAGTCTCACCTTTCTTCTTCGTCCTTCTCATCCTGGGCCCCTCCCCCGCTGGTGCCTCTTTCTTCTTAAGGCGCAGAGGTTTGGCTGGGGGGACAGGGCTTCCCAGGTCCCCTGGAAATGGAGGGAGGGGTTAGACAAAGAAGAGCCTGTTGGGCCTGAAGGCTGCCTTCCAACCCACTCATCATTCCTTCAGTCCCCAGGGAAGCTGAAGGCCTGACAAGGGCCCAGGATCTGTCTTCTGCTCGTCGTGCTTTAATCCCGAGTCCATAAAGGGCAGGACAAATACCAGGAACTTCGTAGGCATTACAGAATGAATGAATGAATGAATGAATGAATGAATGAATGAATGAATGCCGGGCCTTCTAACTGAGCCTCCGATTTCCAGCTCCCACCCCAAACCCTTAGCAAACCCCCAGGAGACTTCCTCCAGCAGGTGCTACAGACAGCACACTGTCCCTCCCACAGAGGCCCAAGGTCCTAGCTCCCTCTTCCCCTTTAGATCAGCCTGTGGTACCTGTAGCCCAGGCCAGGGAGCCATGAACAGCATTTATTTCATTGACTGATTTGCACCGTAATCACTTTGATACTTTTATGAAAATTATAACAATAATTTATATTGAGTTACCAAAAAAAAACTAAAATCACAAAACTAAAATCCTCTGTCCTCCCTGGCTCACAGAGCCCCCTGGGCAGCCAGTGGGGCAGCGGGGGGAGGAGGGCGGTGGATACATAGTGATCTAGGTACTTAAGGACCACCATGGGGAAGACACCAGAGAAAGAAACTCTTGCATCCAGGTACTAGGTAACTTCCTGATGTCTCAACTCTCGCCTAGCCCTGAAGGACAAGGCTACTTTTCCGAGTCTGTGTGCTCCCTCTGTACCCTCAACACTCACCCTTCTGTCCCTGGGCCTTGGCCTTCCTCTCCTTGATACCCGCAGAAGTCTTCTCTTTAGGCTTTTTGGGTGGCAGAGGGGTTTTCTGTTTCTTTTCCTCTGCCTCCTCTTCCTCTTCCTGGTCCTCGTCTGATTCCTCCTCATCCTCTATAGGTAGAAACTTCTCATAATGGGGGCTGGCGTAGGCCCCATTATCTGGGAGCCCAGTCCCCCCAGATTGTTGGGAAGTGGTCATGGCGGGGGAGGCTCCCCTTCGGGAACAGGAACAGGAGGAGGAACACAGTTCCAGCACCTTCCTCAAATCCTGGGGGTGACACCCTAAGGTGTTCAGGGGAGTGAGCTGGGGTTGGGGGAATGCAAGGGACTTGGCAATCCTGTTCTGGGGGAAAGGCCCTTCTCTGTAAGGCTTTCTCTGTCCCCTCCAGGACCCTCTGCTTCTCCCTGGCCTTGTCCCTTTCTGACCTCCAGCCAGACCCATCTGGGCTACCTCTGGCCCCTAGCTGTAGTTAAAGGCAAAACTCTTAACTGCTCTGTGCCTCAGTTTCCCCATCTGGAAAACAGAGTAAAGAACAAGAGAATAAGGTTCTTTTCTGACTCTAAGAGAAGGCCAGAGCAGGGGAGGTTTTTTCCCCGAGTTTTCCGCCTCCCTGTCGCGGTTCCCGTGTGGCCACCTAGCGCCTTCTCCCCAGTGCCCGCCTCCCGGCCTCCCCGCCGGCCCCTGTCTCACCCTCGGCCGCGTCCGGGGCTCGCGCTACCAGGAAGGTTTCCCGCGGGTCGCGCTTGACCTCGGGGTCCCTGAGGAACTTGGCGTAGACGGTGCGCGACGGCCGGGCCTCTGGGGGTTGCGGGGCCGGATCCTCCCGCGGCTTCCCCCTCCGCCCGGCTGAGCCGAGAGGCCGGGGTCAGGCAGGGCCGGACCCCCTTCTCCAACGGCACCAGAGCCCCGGACCCTGCCCTCCTCGGGTTCCTCTCCATGGGGGTCCCCCTGGGCCCTCTTTACACTTTTGCACCCCATCCCCTGGCTTTCATACATCCCTCCTAGCCCCTACCCACTTCAACCCCAGCCCGCTCCCACCCCTCCAGGACCCCCCTCGCTGTCCCCACCCCCAGGACTCCAGGACTCAGCCGCACCCCTCCCGCGTCCCTCACCCTGGGGAGCGCTCCCGGGCTCGGTGCCCAGCCCGCCTCCAGGTCTCCGGGACTTGGATCCCTTAGGGCCCGGGGACTCCGGGGCCTCAGTCCTCTTCTTCCTCAACTTCTGCCCCTTGACGGGTCGCTGCGGAGTGGGGGGTCAAGAGGGCGGAGTAGAAGGAAAGGGGGGCTCTGTGGGCTGCCCGTGACCCTCTAATCCCTTGAGCCGCCAGAAATAACCGCGGATTATCGGGAGGGGAACCGCAGTCGTCTTCTTGGGGTGGGGAACGGTGACCCTCTCCCATGCATCATGGCCACGTCCAAGTCGGAAAGTCCCAGTTCTTCCCCTGGACATCCCATGCCCCAAAACACCCCTTCCCTCAAAAATAAAAAAAAATAAAAAATAAAAAAATTACAAGGAAGCAACCTCAGACGCTGCTGAGGAGGACGTGATCCACTCCCAGATCCCCTCCCTTGCGTGGGTTTACACGCAATGGCGGGTTCTCCCTGCCTCCTTTCCAAGAAGGGGTGGCGCGTACCTGCTTCAGGCGCGACTGGACCTCCGGGCTCTGGCTTTCCTCCTCGTGTCCACTGATTGTAGCAAAGGAATCAGTTTGTCTTCCTCCCCTTGTCTGCCCCCCCAGCCCCTCCCTCTGGGCCCCCCAGGGTTCTGGTAGGTTGAGGTGGTGGTGGGGGGCACTTCCGGACCTGTCCGAGGCCCACACCTCTCGGAGGGTGTCGTCCTGCAGGGGCATGGTGCCTTCCACTATCCGCACCCCTTCTCTGCCCACCCTGCAGCTCTAGGAAGCCTCCCAGCCCTCCCTCGTTAATCCCGGCTCAACTTCACCCCACCTCCCGCTGGCTCAAGAGGGCGGCAGCTGGGGGGGTGAGAGGTGCTCCTCTCCCGCCCAAGACTCCCCCCACCCCAGGTCCAGCCCCCTGCGGGAAAAGGCTGAACTCCCAGGTTCCGAGACCACCAGCCCCACCGTCCCCTACCCAGCCTCCACTTACAGGTGTCACTTTGTCATTTGTCAGGGGTCAGTGGGGTGTGGGAGGAAAATATCAGATAGATCCTGTATTTATCTTTTTTTTTTTTCATAAAAAACAAGAACCAGTGTTTGCTGATATTTAGTATACATGGACTGACAGAAGCAGGTGTATACACAGTGCTTTATTGAGAAAAATGCCTAATTATGGGTGTACACTTAAGATTTTTTTTTTTACTGATAGAGAACATGCTTTTTAAAAAGTTTAGAGACCAAGGGTATAGTTTTTTGTTTGCTTGTTTGTTTGTTTTTAAGTAATCGCTATGCCCAAGGTGGAGCTCAAACTCATGGCCCCACTCACGAGCCATTCATGACCCAGAGATCAAGAGTCACGCGCTCCACTGACTCAGCCCGCCCGGTGCCCCCCCAAGGATATAGTGTTGATGAGATTAATATCATGGGAGAAGTTTAGTTAAATGCTGAGGATCCCAGCTGAGATGCTGAGGTTAAATGCTGAGGTTGGTTAATTTGGTTAAATGCTGAGGACCCCCCAGGGGTCCCAGTCAGCTGTCCTGGGGGCTTCCTGAAGCCCGATCTAAAACTTAAAAGATGGTGAATAAGGAGTTCCACAGGCAAAAATAAAAGTGGGATATGTCACCTGGTAAGGGAACAAGATAGAGGCCTGGAAGTTGGAAATAGCCAGATGTGTTCGAATGTTTAGTGCTAGGAGGCAGGGCTCACCCATTGAGTCAGCCCTGAGCCCACAACCTGAGCTCTGTCACTTAAGGCCTAAAGGCCCTTGGGTGACTTACTTAGCCCTCTGAGCCTCGAGTTCCTCTTTTATAAAATGGGCTCGACCTGGTAAGGATACTGTTAGATTCGTTGAGATGAGGCATCTGGGTGGCTCAGTCAGTTAAGCCTCCAACTCTTGGTTTCTCAGGGTCGTGAGTTGGAGCCCTACATTGTGGCAGATTCAGTGAGATGACAGGTGGAAAGGAGCATGCAGTGGGCACTCAGTAATTGGGAATTATGTGCCCCTTTTCACTGCAGTCCCATTTCATCCCTGTCTCTTCAGCATTTGCAACACGACTTGATACATGAGTGGGATTCATTTTTTCAGTGAGTTAATGAGTTTTTTATTTCATTCAGGTCGCACCAGTGATCCAGTGAGATAGGCAGGGTAGAGATGATTATCTCCATTTTACATATGGACAAACTGAGGCTCAGGGAGGTGACTTGAGTGCTCGGGGAGTGCTCAAGTTCAGCCAGATCATAAGGTTGCTTTGTGAATCCAGATCTGACTCCTGTCAGAGCTTTTACTCCTAACCCTTGCATGTTTTACGCCATCACAGGAGTTAGAGAAGGGCTATGAATGAAACAGTCAGGCTTTTTGTTTTTCACTGCTTGGTCCACCTGATCCAGATGGGCCCTAATCAGTCTTCCTAAAATACCACTTCTTCAGCTGACACCTCTGCTCAAAAACATTCCCTGGCTCCCTGCTGCCTAAGGATCAAATTGAAATGGGCTGGGTTGGTATACAAGACTCTCTCTGGTCTGTCCCCAGTCTGCCTTTCTAACTGCAAGGCTATCCCCAGCCCTACTATTCACCCAGCCACATTGGTGTGCATAAAGCCTTTATATTCTCTCTCCTCCATGCCTTTGCTTAAGCTGTTCCCATCTGGAATGCCCAGCTTATTCCAAGAAACCTGTCCCACTCTAAATAGCCCTCAAGGGACGCCTGGGTGGCTCAGTTGGTTAAGCAGCTGCCTTCGGCTCAGGTCATGATCCTGGCGTCCTGGGATCGAGTCCCACATCGGGCTCCTTGCTCGTCAGGGAGCCTGCTTCTCCCTCTGCCTCTGCCTGCCATTCTGTCTGCCTGTGCTCGCTCGCTCTCCCTCTCTCTCTCTGACAAATAAATAAAATCTTAAAATAAATAAATAAATAAATAGCCCTCAAGTCCCCACCTCCAAGATTCCTCGGTCCTCTTTGGCCTCGGAATGCATAGTAACAATAACAGTAGTAGTAGTAGTAGTAGTAATAATAGCAGCATTCATTGACCAGTCCCTGTGTGTCAGTCTCGTTGCTCCCCTTCTCTCCCCACCCTCACAAGAATGTTTATAAGTCAGACATTAACACCCTAATATCAAAGGTAAGGAAACTCATGGCTGAGAATCGGTCAACGAATATTTCCAGACCATACTGACTTCGTGCCAAGCAGTATGCTAAGCCCAGGTCATACAGTGACAGGCGAAAGGATGTGGTCCCTGCCTCACGGAGCTGAACTTCTTCTGAGGAAGACACAGAGTAAAGACACAAGTACACTAATTCATTGATGTGTGATCTCGCTGTTATTAATGGTACTTAATACCAAGAACGAAAATAACTGGGTTCCTTGAGAACAGCAGGTGGGATCCAGGTGGGACTGATTGATTGATTGATAAGATTTTATTTATTTATCTGACAGGGAAAGACAGGGTAAGCAGGGGGAGCAGCAGAGGCAGAGAGAGAAGCAAGGCTCCCTGATGTGTAGAGATCCTGGGATCATGACCTGGAGGAAGGCAGACCCTTAACCCACTGAGCCACCCAGGTGCCCCAGGCTGGATTTAGAGGACGGACAGACAGGACTGTCTGAGAAGAAAGTTTTTTCCTTTCAAAGATTTTATTTATTTCACACACACACACAAACACACACGCAGAGCTCACACACAAGTGGGTGGAACAGCATAGGGAGAGGGAGAAGGAGCCTCCCCATCGAGCAGGGGGAGCCCCATGCAGGGCTCGATCCCGGAACCTTGGGATCATGACCTGAGCTGAAGTCAGATGCTCAATTGACTAAGCCACCAAGAAGGGAATTTTTTTCTTTAAGATTTTACTTATTTATTTATTTGAGAGAGAGAGAAAGTGAGGGAGAACATGAGGGGGGAGAAGGTCAGAGGGAGAAGCAGATTCCCCGCGGAGCTGGGAGCCCAAGATGGGACTTGATCCCGGGACTCCGGGATCATGACCTGAGCTGAAGGCGGTGGCTTAACCAACGGAGCCACCCAGGCGCCCAAGAAGGGAATCTTTTTTTTTTTTTAAGATTTTATTTATTTATTTGACAGGGAGAGAGAGATCACAGGTAGGCAGAGAGGCAGAGAGAGTGGGGGGAAGCAGGCTCCCTGCTGAGCAGATAGCCGGATGCGGATGCGGGGCTCCATCCCAGGACCCTGGGATCATGACCTGAGCTGAAGGCAGAGGCTTAACCCACTGAGCCACCCAGGTGCCCCCAAGAAGGGAATCTTTAAGCTGAGCCCTGACAGGGTTCCTGGCTGGCTCAGTCAGTAGAGTGTGCCACTCTTGATCTTGGGATCACGCATTTGGACTCTATTTTGGTGGCAGAGTTCACTTAATGAATATATACTAAAATAAACTGAGACTTAAAGGCTTTCAGAGACTAGGAATGAGAACATTCCAGGCATAGGGCACAGTTTATGAAAATGTTTCCAGGCAACAAAGCACTTCGCATAATAGGGCAGGGGCGCCCCTCGACCAGGCCCCCAAGACCATCCTTTAGAGGGTTCCTGAGGATCAAAAACCCCAGACAAACACATGACTAGGAACCGGAGGGCATCTGCGGCTCAGGGCTGATCTGATCAGGCGAAGTGAAAACTGACATATCCGTGTTCTAACGGGGGTGGGTGGGGGTGGTGGTGTGTTGGGGGGTGTTGGGGGTGTGGGGCGGGGCTCAGGGAATGCCTCACATCTTGCTCCCTGTTCTCCAAACCAGAGCTGTCTGTGCTGGACTGAAAGTGGGCTGGGTGACCACCCAGGTCAGAGGACACGGCTTTGGAGTGTGGGCCGGTGTGAACAGCAGATGCTTTCAAGTGAAAGAAAAGAGGAATGCATTTCTCAGACCTCTCCTCTGAGGTTGCACGGACGTGATAGGTTCTCAAGTAGTAAAGCCTCGGGTTCTTCTGCTTCTTTTCACGTTCTGAAGGTTCTCCTGAATCAGCACTGGTAATCTTAAAGGTGCACATGGTGGCTGAGGAATGTTTTATAATATTAAAAACCATTCATATTGACTCTTAAATTTGTATATATGTAGGTCGGGACAATGTGTGAAGCGCGATTGTTGTTCCTCGGATTGACACATCAGATGCTATTTTGGGAACAGTTCTGTTTTCCTAAACATATATAATAAGGCGGAATTAAAATGTCTGAAACGATTTAAATTCAATTACATTTTGCTACTTATTTTTTTAAAATATATTTTTAAAGGATTTTATTTATTTATTTGACAGAGAGAGATCACAAGTAGGCAGAGAGGCAGGCAGAGGGAGAGGGGGAAGCAGGCTCCCTGCTGGGCAGAAAGCCTGATGAGGCCGCTCTATCCCAGGACCACAAGACCACCACCTGAGCCGAATGCAGAGGCTCAACCCACTGAACCACCCAGGTACCCCTACATTTTGCCACTTATTAATTAGAAAACATATTTGCCTTTAAATTTTAATATATAATTTTGAATGTGAGGAAAGTCACTTTTGAAAGCATGTGAAAAATAACTTTATTAAAAAGGTTTATTTCTTTAGCGGCACCTGGGTGGCTCAGTGGGTTAAAGCCTCTGCCTTCGGCTCAGGTTATGATGCCAGGATCCTGGGATCGAGCCCCACATCAGGCTCTTTGCTCAGTGGGGAGCCTGCTTCCCCCACTCCCCTCTCTTGGCCTGCCTCTCTGCCCACTTGTGATCTCTGTCTGTCAAATAAATAAAATCTTTTTTTAAAAAAAAAAAG